TTGGTTTTTTTTAGGTTTTGTTTTTTTTTTAAAGCAACTTGGTGTTCGAATTGAATGTTTAACTCTGTAACAGCTCCTCATTTTCTGCCCTTGCATCATTAAAATTTCACTCTGATCTTGTAAACCACTGAATTACTGCTCATACAGGTTGACAGAGGGGTTCACTGTATGGGATTAAAAGTGGGAGTTGTTAATTAGAACTGAATATCAGATTACTCAGCTACATTGAGAAGATCTCAGAGCAAGTGGAGCCACAAGGGAATGCATGGTGATTTTATATATATATATATATATATATATATATATAAAATTTTTTTTGGCAAGTAAACATGAAACTTAAACATTAATGTGATCAGCACTTGGGAGGGTTTGTATGAACAGAGTGTGTTCTCCTTAAGTGTCATTCTCATTGCTTTTACTGGAATTACTATGTGTAATACACAGACTGAGAACCCACACTGTCGCATCTACCCTGTGATAGAGTTGGTTGAATTGTGTGTAATGGTGGAGTTGCTCCTTATAGGGAGGGTTTATGTATTACACTGTACTATACTGTAATATTTCCCATTATGTGAGCTCAGCTTAAAGACAGAAAATTTACAGGAATTTTTTCCAAAGAAAACCAAACGTTGAGAGGTTGTTTATCTTTACAAGAAATTGTGCATCAATTCCGGGAGCCACTTTAACTGGAGAAAACATGGCCAGCAAGTACCATGTCAAACCTCATTACACAGAACAGGGCTGTAGCCTGTCCAGTAGGTTTCTCTGGTCAACTCTTCACCTCATCAGAGTTCAGCAAGAGCAAGATGAATTCCTGTATGTGGGGGTGACAGACCGGACAGTTACTCACCACCTCCTGCTTTCCTGCTGCTTCTGAGCAAGCTCCCAGATTCATCATGCTCGACTCCTTTGTGGCACAGCAAATATTCTTTTTCAAAGGGAAGTGTTGTATACCATTTCACTGCAAATTTTACTGGGTGTTTGTTTTTTTTTTCCCCCACTGTTAAACCAGTGGGAGTCAAGCTTTCAGGCAACATAGACAATATACTTTCCTGGTATGCCATGTGTCCAGCACTGCCTTGTAGGTGTACTCATAGTACACCTACATATGCCTTCTGGGTCTGAGATACGTGTGAGGGAGAGGCTGCTGCTCAATTCCTGCCGTGTGAGTAATTCAAAATAGCCGACTTTTTTCCACAGGCACCCAGATCTGGGCAAAGAAAAGGGTTGTAGTAGTAGAATTGTAGAGTGGTTTGGGTTAGAAGGGACCTTAAAGATCTAGTTCCAATCCCCTGCCCTGGGCAGGGACACCTCCCACCAGAGCAGGTTGCTCAAAGCCCCATCCAGCCTGGCCTTGAACACTTCCAGGGATGGGGCATCCACAGCTTCTCTGGGCAACCTTAATGCATTCAGTGCCAGGCACGTCACTGTTGATCATAGTCTTTCCTTCCATGCACCTTTGTGTTCTCTCTAGGTCTTTTTTAACAATTTAAAAAGAAACTCAAACCCTCAAAAAATCTGCACAGTTGGAACACAGTGATAATTAAGCATTAATCACATTTGATATGCTTTACCATTTTTAACTAAGCTCTGTGGGAGGAGGTTTCTCTTGCAACAGACAAAAATGATTTTTGTGCTAAGGAAACCTACTAGAATGCTGAAGAGTTCTTTTTGGAAAGGCAGAGGTCCAGTACACTGATTATTAATAATCAGTTATTAGCAAAAGGATATATTATTTGGGTGTTGTCTTGATTTCTGTAAGTGGGGGGAGATGGGAATGTATTTTCTTCTACCAAATCAGTCTTGGTTTCCTTTGGAAATTTATTTTTTTTACTAAAAATAAGAAAATTTTCCTTTTATGTTTTTAAAAGGACTGTGGCAGGCAATGCATTCATTTGCAGCTTCCCCCTTTACTTAGAAATTCGTTCCTGTCTTACTGCCCGCTGCAGCACAGCTGTGACTGGCCAGATATGTGTGATGAGGTGTGAGGCTGTGCCAGGCCTCTACACTGGCTGTACTTTGCATTGTTCAGACCTGTTTGTTTGAATGCAACTATCCATGCCAGCTTTTACATGAATAAAAATGTGGAGGTTTTGGTCACGGAATCACAGAATTGTTGGAGTTGGAAGGGACCTCTAGAGATCATCTGGTCCAACTCCCCTGCTAAAGCAGGATTGCCCAGAGCACATTACTCAGGACTGCATCCAGAAGGGTCTTGAAGATCTCCAGAGAAGGGGACTCCACGACCTCCCTGGGCAGCCTGTTCCAGTGCTCCATCAGCCTCACCATAAAGAAGTTCTTCCTCACATTTGAATGGAACTTCCCCTGTTCCAGCTTGTGCCCGTTGCCCCTTGTCCTATTGCTGGGAACCACTGAAAAGAGTCCGGCTCCAACATCCTTCAACTCACCCTTTAGATACTTATAAACATAAATAAGGTCTCCCCTCAGCCTTCTCCAGGCTAAAGAGTCCCAGCTCTCTCGGCCTTTCCTCAGAAGGAAGATGTTCCAATCCCTTAATCATCTTTGTTGCCCTTCGCTGGACTCTCTCCAGTAGTTCCCTGTCCCTCTTGAACTGGAAAGCCCAGAACTGGATGCAGTATTCCAGTTGTGGCCTCACCGGTGTGGAGTAGAGAGGGAGAATGACATCTCTTGACCTACTGGCCACACTTCCCTATGCATCCCAAAATTCCAAGTCGATGGTGTATGCCAACCAACAATATACCTTATTAATAAGGAATATCTATTCTGCTATTACTGTGCTAAATTCCTTGTCCAGGCTATTTTGCCTGACAGACCAGCCCATGCAAATAAGAATTTATAATACCCAAGTATAGTTGTGAAAGTATTAAGGAGTTTGTGTTTGAACACTTAAAATGGGGACACCAGTTGGTGAAATATTGAGTAGTGGGAGAAATGAAATGCTTCAGCCTTAACGCCTGATATGTCACGTCTGTGTGTGTTTTGAGATACTCGTGCTCACCGTAGGAAGCTGGGATCAAAACTGGTCCTTTTGCGCTCTGTCTCAAAGCAAATGAGCAAAGTGGTTTTGTGGGGCAAAAAGAATGAATGCTCTGACTCTGTGGGATTTACTGAATTCTTAATAAACTCGAGGAAGAGAGGAGACGCTGGCTTTGCAGTTAGTTTGTGGTTTTAAATAAGCACATAAACTTCTGACAAGCTGTAGTTGCTGTAAGCAGGATTTTTGGCATAGAACATTTCTCTCATCCAGCTGGAAAACAAAACAAACCCCAGTTGTTAATGAGGCAACGTTAATGCATTCATCTTTGCATCCCTTTAGAATTAACAAACCGACATGAAGCCCCTGAAAAGTGTAAATTAATCTGCAGAAGGGTAAAATGAAGCATGCTCATAGCTGGTGCATTGCAGCTCTGCCTTTAGGAAACGCAGCTTCTTTAACCGAGACACGGTGTTACTTTGCATTTGAAGAATCCATAGCAAATCAAAATTTAATCCATGCGCTCAGCTTGGACTGAAGTGATTCTTTTATTATTTTTTTTTTTTCTTATTTTTACATCGTGGCGGTCTCCCATGACAATCTGCAGTAGTTCTTGTCCTAATGATGTCATCGTTTAGTCTCCCCGCCGCTGCCAGGGGAGGTGTAGGGGCTCTCGTTACTCACTGGCGACTGCCTTTGCATTTTCTGCTGAAGACAGGCTGCATTTGCTCATCTTTGCACTCGCTTTGTTTGATTTGCCAGGGTTTTAAATAAATTCCGTGCATATGGATGTCCCTCCTATTGTATAGAGAAAATGAAGACTGCTCTGACTGGTGGGGGAAATGAACAGTTTGTTCACCAAGCACGTAACGCGCCTGATTTTGGTAGCATATTTATAAACACGCTGTATTTTAGCCGGGTGATCTCATTGCCTCTGTGGAAGAGAGGTTATAAAGACACATGCTGAAGTCTTCATGTCTAGTGAAAAACATGGCCTTGGTAGCTCATGGAAAAAACCCACATTTATCGCTGACATAGAATTGTTGAACCAGAGCCATTTGTGAAGAGATGAGAGGGGGAAGTATTAAACACAATGAAGAAAAGCTAGGCTAAATTGAGCTAGATTCATTTTGAATGAAACGGGTCTTTAAAATACAGCTTAAAGAGGAAAAAATCAAATATCTCTGAAGAGATAAAGACAAACAAAAATCCCTGTGTTGCACTTGAGTGGGTGAAACATCACTAGGTGGGTCTGAAGCAAACACACTAGCGGTTGAACAATGTTTTGGATAACAAACTTTGCTGCTCATGGTAACAGCTGTAATGGAATATATTTGTGTGGTGTGTACAAATCTATGCTAAACGAACACGATTACACTGGGGAGGGACACAGTTCAGCTTCCCCACGTAATCTTAGCTCAGCCTTGGGCACGCAACATTAGGATTTTTTCCCCCCAAGGATTCCTTATCTTTTGTAATAGCCACGGTGAGGATTTAAGAGGCAGCTTTCGTGTGCAACACAAATCAAAAGGGTCAGGGCACTCTGACTGATTTCACAGTGAGAAGGTAAAAATGGATGAGTCTTAAGTGTACATGCAAGAGCCCAAGAAACACAAGTGTGAGCAGTTTCCTTCTCTTGTTTGTGACCCGGCACAGGTATGTATATTTGTGCCACATGTGGAGGGGAAATGCATTCCCTGTTTCTTCACTGGCATCCCCTCACCCCCAAAGAAATCCATACCTGAGCCATTTTGCCTTCAGAGTCATGGTGGAATGTAGCAAACAGTTTGGTGTATAGGTACAATAAACATAAAAGTTTATAAAATAACTGTTGTGCCTTTTGATAAATATACAGCAACGTGAACTGCTACACGTTGAGTTGGCATATGCAGGTAAAGCAGAAAAAAAAAAAATCATTAAAATCAGATCAAGTTTCAGAATAAAGAGACTTTGGATTTGGGTTGTTATAGAGGGTGGAGAGAGAGAAGAAAGTTGATGTTTTTTTTTAAAGAAAAGTTAATGTTGGTGCCTGTCTGTCTTGTAGGTACATATATTCTGACAACTGCCTTGTTGCCCCTCCTGGAAAAAGAAGCTGATGCCAGAGTGGTGAGTCTGTGATGCTGCTGAAACGTGGTGTTTTACTGTTCTTACCTTCTGATTTGTGACAGCTTTTCTTTTACTGTGCTAGCAGGGTGGGATTAGCTATAATGCTGTAAGCATCTCTAGAATCCTCTTGGATTTTGCTAACAACAGCCTCCTTCTCCAAGGCAAAGCTCCTGCCTGCTGCTCTCAGGTCTTCCTTGGAAATCAGAGTAAAACACTTCCTTTGGAAACTTCCCCTTTGACTTTCCCTGGGGCAAATTCTCTCCTGCAGCATGGTGCAAAATACCTATAGCAGGAGCACGGGCTTAAAAAAACCTTTCAGATCTTGGTGTAAAATAGGACAGCAGGTGCTTTTTAAAAACAAAATTTCCCATGTTTTGTACAGTCTCTTGTTTTCTAATTAGTTTCCGTAAACGCTAGACATATAAATTACAAATAGTGCTCTTCTGCTATTTTCTTTCTCCGTATTGCTTTTCGAAAGGAAGAAGCACAAAGTTCCCTGAAGGAGTCAACACCACTTTGAATGAGAATCACTTTCTAAAAAACATTCTTGTTTCCTCCACCTCATCTCCAGGTATGCTCCACTCATGAGCACGCAGAGGAATCCTGCTCCCAAGGGACTTCAAAATATGGCTTGGAGACCACATTACGTGCATGAGTGTGATTGTGGGGCGTTCCTGGTTTTGTTTATTCATTCATTTGCTTTTCATCCATTTGATTACAGATAACTGTCTCTTCTGGGGGCATGCTAGTTCAAAAATTAAACATATCTGACTTGCAGTCGGGAAGTGGGACATTTGATGGAACTATGGTGTATGCACAAAATAAGGTACAGTCCATGGCTTTGAGAACGAAGCCCGGCGCTTGCTTGCGAGGCGGCTCGTACCATGGGCTTTGCAAAAAGCCTGTTGGTGGCTGTTGCTTTCCCATTGCTCTAACCCATAGAGAGATGCACAAGCAATAACCTTCAGGAGTACGATGGCATGCATACCATCTTGCTCAGAGAGCCTGGCTAGACTTTCACTTGATTTGATTTAAGTCCCAAGGGTGGGGGGGAAACTGTCTTTTGCTGACAAACCCTTTCTGCCTGCTCAGTCCTTACCTGCAGTCTGCAGCAAGCAGCCGTGGTCAGTAAAAGCAGTGTAACTGCTTTAAAAGTGAGCTTGTGGCCAGGATATGGATTGCGATGACCGTGGTGGTCTCCGACAAAATGATCCAATAAATCACATCCGGATGAGTAAGGGTATATACATAAATGCCCTGCTGTTTACAGCACTTTTGATGTAGTTTATGTCCCTGGGAACTAGCTTGGTGGTCAGCCTGTTGAACTTGATGCTAGTCTGGCTCTTTTTCCTTTCTCCTAGAGACAGCAAGTTGTCGTGACAGAACAATGGGCAAAAACTCACAGAAACATCCATTTCTCTGTTATGCACCCCGGTTGGGCAGACACTCCAGGTAACATCTGCTTGATGTTCTGACTGTACTTTTTTTTTCCTTTTCAGGTTTAGCCTAAAAGCAAAGAGAAATGAGACTTTCTGGTAGATTTCTCTAACAGGTGCAGTGATTTCTTGGCTCACAACTGGTGCTTGAAGTAGTTTTGTACCCCCTTGGTAGCTCTGTTCCGTGCAGCGTCTGCCATCTGTATATAGCTAGAGAAAAATAACAGGCAGTGGATGAATCCAGCCCGGCACAAATGCCCAGCAGAACCATACTGCATTAAGCTAACCTTCCATTTACATTTGTAGTGGGACTGTTAAACACACAGATAAGAGCTTTTGCCTCTGTGAGCACCAGTGTGCAGCTGCTGGGAGTTTGCGAGGGCATATAGAAAAACAGAGCACGCCCCATCGTGCGAGTCCTGTTCCTCTCCTCTTCCTCTAAACATTTATTGCTGTGGAGAAGCGGCGTGTTTGGGCAGACAGCTCTTTGTCTGAGCTGCAGCTGTTCTTCAGCCAGTGTGTCTCAGCAGGGGGCCAGCAGCAGTTGGTTACCCAGTGTGTGTGTTGCGTTCCGCAATACCTTACCAGCCCCTAACACCCAGGCTTGGGATGCAGATAGCAATCCAATCTCTAGGTCTTTTCTAGGGACTCAGTTTCCCAAATTTGCTTCTGATGACAGAAGTATTTACCCCATCTATTTTATGATTGAAAGCTGCCTTTCCAACTAAATATCCCAGTATTTCTTTTCTTTAAAATACATTTATTTTTCACTGAATTTCACTGAATTTTAGAGTTGGAAGGGACCATAGAGATCATCTAGTCCAACTCCCCTGCCAAAGCAGGACCACCCAGAGCTTGTCTGAGCACGTTACTCAGGACTGCATCCAGGCGGGTCTTGAAAATCTCCAAAGAAGGGGACTCCACAACCTCCCTGGGCAGCCTGGTCCAGGGCTCTGTCACCCTCACTGTGAAAAAGTTCTTCCTCATATTCAAGTGGAACCCTTTATGTTCCAACTTGTGCCCATTGCCCCTTGTCCTCTCACTTTTTGCGCACCCCTTGTCGATTCCAAACAGAATGAACCATAAAGTTATCCCACCTTAAAGTTCAAGGACTCTCCAACCCCACAAAATAAACACCTGCAGGGGGTGAGCCTTCAATCATCACCTCTTGAACGAAATAAAAAGAATCCAGAGTTTAAAAACGAATTAAACAGTTTAAAATAAAAAGAATCCAGAGTTTAAAAACGAATTATGCAGTTGGTTTAGTTACTGTTCACCACACAGTTTTTAAATACAATGTTGCAACTGGGTCCTTAAAACTGGTGAGAAAATAAGAGCTAAAAATCCTGTTAGAATACCTGGATTTTGGTATTTCTGTTTTCCTCATGTCTTAGTTCTTTGCAGTTTAGAGTGGAAATGGGCTCAGCAACCTCTTGCTGATCCTATTCTCAGTTCCTACTGAGTTTTGTCCCTGTAATTTGACCCAAACAAACAACTGGTGGATCATCTGGCAGTTTAGCATTATTCCACCACAAGTCATTGTATGGGGAAATATGGGGAAATACTCATTCTCTTTCATAAACTGAGATGTCTTCTCTTCTTCCTACACTCACAATGGCAATTTTAAGCTGTTTTTGTTTTGGTTTGGTTTTTTTTATTTAAAAAAGCCTTGCATGACAGACCACCATTCCATTGTTATTCTTTCTAGCTGTGAGATCAGCAATGCCAGATTTCTACCAGAAGATGAAGAACAGTCTGCGCACAGAGGCCCAGGGAGCTGACACTGTTGTATGGTTGGCAATATCACCCGAAGCAACAAAGTTGCCCAGTGGCTTGTTCTTCCAAGGTAAGATGGGAAAGGATTTCTCAAATATTTCTCAAAATTGTTCTAAGACTAAAGGTTCAAGTGAGTGTTGTGCAACCAGAAAACAACTGTGTTATGTTCCTGCTTTCGTCCTCTAAAGGAGCTGATAGAGGCTTCAAAGCATTTCTTTAGGGAGGGTAGGGGTTTTTTTTAATCAAATTTGCTCTATACAGGACTGTGTCCAGTGAAGGTGAATCACAGAAGTCAAACAGCATCTTTTATAATGTTGGGAAACTAGCATGCTTCTCACAGGGCACTGGGGGTTGGCTTTGCTTTGACAGGCTCTTCTTCCTACTGTTCCCTGCTAGTTAAAACTGCCAGTTCTCCCTTTCTCTAATGCTGGGCTTGAGCACAGAGGCATTTTTTGGCACTGTAAGCATAGGGAATGGAAAAATAGGGCAGAGCCTTTCTTTTCTCCCAGGCAAATGAGAGGCATCTTAGTAGGAGCAGCTGGAAGCACAGATGTCTTTGTGGTGATGCAGGTCAGTCATAGAATCGTAGAATGGTTAGAGTTGGAAGGGACCTTCAAGATCATTGAATTCCAATCCCCCTAACACTTCCCACTAGAGCAGGTTGCTCAAAGCCCCATCCAGCCTGGCTTGAACACTTTTGGGGATGGAGCACCCACAGCTTCCCTGGGCAGAATCGTAGAATGGTTAGAGTTGGAAGGGACCTTCAAGATCATTGAATTCCAATCCCCCTAACACTTCCCACTAGAGCAGGTTGCTCAAAGCCCCATCCAGCCTGGCTTGAACACTTTTGGGGATGGAGCACCCACAGCTTCCCTGGGCAGCCTGGTCCAGTGCCTCACCATCCTCACAGTAAAGAACTTCTTCCTAGTATCTAATCTCAATCTCCCCTCATTCAGTTTGAAGCCATTACCCCTTATCCTATCACTACACTCACCCATAGAGTCCCTCACCATCTCCCCTGGAGATTCTCTTCAGATACTGGAAGGTCACTATTAGATCTCCCTGGAACCTTCTCTCCTCCAGGCTGAACAACCCCCACTCTCTGAGCCTGTCTTCATAGGAGAGGTGCTCCAGCCCTCTGATCATCTTTGTGGCCCTCCTCTAGACCCTCTCCAACAGGTCTGTGGCCATCTTGTGCTGAGGACTCCAAACCTGGATGCAGTACTCCAGGTGGGATCTCACCAGAGCAGAGGGGCAGAATCACCTCCCTCGACCTGCTGGCCATACTTCTTTTGATGCAGCCCAGGGTGTGTTTGGCTTTCTGGGCTGCCAGTGTGCACTGCTGGCTTACGTTGAGCTTCTCATCCACCAACACTCCCAAGTTCTTCTCCTCAGGGCTGCTCTCCAGCCATTCTCCACCCAACCTGTATCTAGTGGGAGAAAGGCAAAGCTCAGGGTAATTGCTTACCAGTACTTTTGGTGGATGTGGCACTCAAATCCTGATTCACTGAATTTCTAGGCAGAGCATGCAGAAAATTCAGACCTCTTCTGTCCCCTCCCAGACAGTCACACAGGCTTGGTTGACAGATATTTAAGTAGACCTTTTTCATGTCAGCACATGGTGCATGCCGAAACCCTACATCCTGGCTGGTCTGTCGTCTTTGTAGAAGCAGACTTTGCCTTTTTTGTAGTCCAGTCACCTTTCTCTGGTCCTAATGCTTCTGCTCAGATGTTCTTGCTCTAGATCATAATTCCACCAGGCTCTTGCCTTTGCCCTTTGTCTACCCCCAGCTTCAGTTAACAGAGAGCACGCCTTGGCTCTTTAGCTGTAGATAATGACTTCTGAGAGCTTTGGTCTTGGCATGACTGCTCTTGAGACTGCAAGAGAAGTCCTCTTTCCATGTCCTGTGCTTACAAAATAATGAGGAAGGCAGTTATTTCTCTTTCTTACTGCCTTACTAAGGAGGCCACACTTTAGTATGGACCCTCTTCAGGTTTTTTCAGTAAAGGGCTTTGTCTGCAGGAGTGCTTTAATATGCTCTTCTGGTCCTAGATGGCCATTTCCTCACGCAGTCACACCTTCCCTCCATTTCCTCTGTTCTCTTTTTATTCTGTTCCTTCTGAGTCCAAACCTAAGTGTATTATTTTTTTTTCCTCAGTAAAAAAAAAAAAGGGGGGGGAGGAAGGGGAAGCGAGAACATGACTCGTACAACCACAGTTCTCTGCATCTGCCAAAATAAAAAAAATGTTTGAGAGAGTCCTGCTTTCCAAAGACTAGAAGCATCTTCTCCATGGAACTTGGCTGTCACACATGGTTCCCAAACTTCGGCACAGGCTGCTGGAAGCACTACAGTTAGGTAGGAGGCAGTTCCTGTTCTCTGATGGAGAAGGGAACGTTCCTCTGCCTGTTTCTCTCTCTGCACAGTTTTCCATAAGCAGAGGTTATGGGGGGTGTGTGCAGGCAGTTACAACACTTGCTTCTTAAGAGAGCAAACATCTCTGCTCCCCTGGGAAGCCTGATGGCAGCCCCAGAGGTTTGCAGAGAGATCTGCTGCCCAGTGTTGCAACAGCTTGTGCTTTTAGTCTCAGCTGGCTGCCACTCAAGTTGGACTTATTAAAACAGACTAAGGGTGCTGCACCAGCGCTCCGACGGTTGCTTCCTAGACATCTGAGAGCACTGTCACAAGGTTCCCAGGCTCTAGACACCATGTTTTTTGGAAAGAAAAATCCCTTGGAATGGATGGAGATACAGCTGTATTTACACAGAGTGATTTGGAAAACCAATCAAAGCATCAAATTGAGCAAACTTGGTCAGACCTTTTAATGTTTGATATATGTTACTTACGGCGATTGAGCAATTGGCGTAAGTTCTTTAGCAATTAGAATTTAACTATTTATTTTTAAGGATGAAAAGCCTTAGCTGGGGAGTTTGTGTAGCACTAGAAACATTGTCCAGGAGGCAAGGAAAAGCTCTGTCTCATGCTGACAAAGCAACATCTGCCTGCAGCTGTAATCTTAAGTTATTGGTCTTTTTCTATAGGAGTTATGCTAATTATGGTAAGGCCTTCCTTTACCTATACTGTCCCTAGCTGCAAGTGAGGTCTTGGTCCCTGCTCTTAAGTCATATCATGCTAAAGGACAATCGCCCTAGTTCCAGAATACAATTGAAATTAGTTCCATTTCTGGTTTGGAAGAGATGCTTAACTCCCATTGTTTACAGATACCTAGAAGGTAAGTTTCCTGGCTTCAAGACCGTGAAGTGTGTTTGGGCAGTACTGAGCCTCGCAGAAAAATCTCCTTTGTGCTAGAAAAGGTAGTTAAGTGTACCTGTAAAGATTTATTTTATTTTTTTATCTTCCAGACAGGCAACCAGTCCCTACACATTTACCCCTGGCGAGCACCCACAGCCCACCGGAGGATGAGGAGAAGCTAATGGAGATGCTGGAAGAATTCTCCCAGAAGTTTAAATCCACTTCTCCAGGAACTTAATGTCCCTACTGACAAAGCATAGCCACAAAGCTTCTAATTACACAGTAACAGTACCGTAGCGTGCCTGCCCATGAGGGGAAGCAGGATGGCATAGGCCCCTTAAAAATAAATTGCCTTCAGGTGTTCTCATCAGGGGGGAGAGCGGTGCCTGTGACTTTTTTTTCTGCTGCTGCCTGTCTCTCCCCTTGTGAATATGCACCTGCTGGTCTCGAGACACAGTCAGGTAGTGTTCTTTGAATTGGGAAGAAAAATTGGGAGGCATTAAAATAAAACCTGAGGCTTTTTGAAGTTCCCCGAAAGCTTTTAAAGCAGTCAGCACACAGAGAGCTGCAGAGGAGCGCGCCTTCAGCAGCCCTCATGAAAGAAGCAGTAAATGTTTTAAACGCTGTTTAACCACTGTGTTTGACAAGTTGGTGGCTGCCTTCCCTGCGTGAGGGGGCTGGGCTCAAACCTGTAACTGGGAGCACAGAAACTCTTTCTCTCTCTCTTGCCTGATTGGTTTAAACGGAAGGATTCCTCTCGGCCTTCGGTTCCTATAACTCAGTGCTGGTATGCAGAAGGGATCTGCTTCCTCATGTTTAACCAGCAAGAATTTAGGAACGCTGCCAAATGCCTTCCACATGACTCTATGGAGCCAGGGCCGAATATTATCCCGTTTATGTCAAGACACCATGAAGTAGGAGGTTTCACCGCGTCGTACCACACCCAGCCAGGGCTGGAGTCAGCGCAGAAATGGCCGGATGACTCTGGGCACGAAAAGAAATAACAGGCTGAGCCCTACGTGCTTGCCATTTCTCTGGAAGATCAAAGGGAATGGCTTTATTATGAATGGATTAGGAGAGGGAAAGGAACACTGGGGGGCAGAGGTTTTAGAGGGGAAGCCCAGCTCCTGGTGAGAGGGTTGTATTTTGCCTGGAACTGTTTATTTGCAAGACACAGAGGATGGGTTTCATCTTACCTGACCTGTGGACGTTTGAATTATTCATTGGGATTCTCAGTGTAAATCAGTCGAGAGAAAACAGGCTTTTTCACGGTGATTTACTGGATCTAGTTTAAGAAACAACCCCTGACATTCCTCCATCTTTCTACTGCTGGTGAAGACAAACCAGCTCAGACTAAGACATTCGGGTGGGATTCATTTTGTCTTATATATTTCAGGTTTACTACAAAGCCAAGACCCTTAATAACAGCAGTGGTAACACATTTTTCTCCTGAGCTGAGTGTGTTTGATAGCAAACTGCCTACAGAACCCAGCCGGGTTGCGCTGCTGGTTTACACATGGCTGTGGATCAGGGTGGGAGGACAAAAGACCCAAATCTGACACAGGTGTTGTTGAGCCCTCTGCAGTGACTGGTAGCTGAAGGCCACGCTGATGGGCAGAGGAGAACTCGTTATTGCCCACGTTATATAATTTAGTTTCCCCAAAGATATCCTCCTGGCTGATGGTGTTTACTTATTATTCAAAGACATCCTGTTAAATATCAAATTAGAAAAAAAACCCCTTCTCTTTTCAGCCTATTGTCAGTCTCCTTGGAAATAAAGGCTTTGGTGTCGGAGAGGCCCTGAAATAAGTTTTCGGTGCTGAGACACATCAGGTGTCACAGCTCTTCCTCAAGAGGCTGGATCAAGCTATTGCTTCATTTTCGTAACTTAACTCCTCATGCTACAGTGAAAGAAAACACCAGCAGGGCTTGTACAAATGTTTACTTCCTAGAAGTCTGCTATTAGCATTGTACAGGCTCCAAACTCTTAAATATAGCAACTGACAGTGGCTTAAAGCATCTATAGTAACTGCATTTCACTACCCAGTAGCCACAGAGCTAAGAAAGACATTTGCATCCTTTAAGGCAAGTTGCTCCTCAGCTCTGCAGTGTAGAAGAAAAGTTTAATGACTGGTATTTAAATAGCTCATAAAAATAACCAAAAGTGCAGAATATATGTAAAACGTGTATTTTAGTCCATATTCTCTGCTGATGTATTTGAATAGTTTATATATATTTAATTTTTTTTTATTACTCGTAGCTTAAAAATTAAGCCAAAAATATGAAAACTGCTTTAATCAGAGTTTGGTCACAGTGCAAAAAGAGGCAGATCCTATGGTTTAAAAGCACTTGTGATTTAGAAAGAAAAGTAATTTTGTAAACTGCATTTCATCTTCTCCTAAGTTTCATTTCTGGGCCATGTTTATTCTTTTAAAAAAAAATAAAATAATAAAAGAACTTGTGGTTGATTAAAGGTAAAAATTATGTTTGTCTACCTTTGAATAGTGGGACCTTCCCATAGATACCTCCTTATTTTGGAGGAAACAGCAAACACCAGGTATTTGCATTCACAGCAACACCCCCACCACCTTCTGTGCTGTCCCAAGGCCCCCCGCTCTGGGAACAAGGTGCAGGCAGGGACACCCCCTCCCCTTAAACCTGACTCCGGTGGGATGTTGGACGAGCCCTGCCTGGGCTCAGAGAGGGAGGGGAGGTTCACCATGGACTTCGATGTAAACAGGTCAGTGCTCAAAAACTCAATGATGTGAGCGATTTATTTGGTGGGACAGAGAGTTCAGTTTGCAGTTCAGTCACAGATTGTATTTTTGGAATGACACAGCTTTTTTAGTTTTTTTTCAAGCCATAACACTACTAGTTTTCATTAACTTTTTAAGTGGAGAGTGAAGATAGAGTTATTCTGTCAGAGAACAGCCTGGTGGTCGCTGACTCCAGCGCTGAAGGGCAGCTACAAGCCTGTTCCTTCTGCCCGTGCCCTTCCATTCCCTTCTCTCATGCTCCATGTGAAAACAAAGTGCTCCTTGTCTTGACACCAAACCCCACTTACCTAAAATTTGTGCTGGTCAACATTCACCTGACTGTCTTTTTAAACGAGCTCTTAATGCTTTGAGTGGCAGCAGGGAAGCTTCAGGTGTCTCCTGGCCCAGCTCCCAGTATCTCCCCATTGGTCCCTCAGGGTTACACCTCTTGTTCTGGTGGGAGCGATAGTCCTGGGTGCGCTTGGGCAGACCCAGGGACTGATTACAGGAGATGATAATTTTTGAAATGCAAATAAGACAACTTGAAACCCTCTCTGTTCCTGCAATCATCCTAACAGCACTGAGGAGAGAAAGCAGGTATTGAGAAGGCACGGAGTCTTAAAGGGGAGCAAACCAACCAACCCACTTCTGGGATTAAAAGTGACCAAATCCAAGAACTTTTTACTTGTGAAGTAGGTCAGTATTTGTTCCTCTCTCTAGAGGGAGCCATCAGATAAATGATGTGTCCAATAAGAAGTTTTTAACGTATCAATCCCTCTATTCTGAAAGACAGCAAAGCCCAGAAGATACTGGTCAGTATGGTGAAGTAACTTTCCAGGCAGAAGCAAAGCACAGCCTCTGGAAAACTAAACCTCACCAGAAACTAGTGGTAACGACAAAGATGAATCAATTTTTTGTAACTATTTTTTTTTTTTTCCCCCAAAACTTTCTTGATTACTTGGTGGTGGCAACCCCGTCAAATTTTCTTGAGACAGGACAAAGTAGAGGTGTTAATGATGGGTCTTCTACCTTTGAGGAAAGCCCTGACCTGTTAGAAAGCATTTGTATTTGGTTAATATCGCAAAGGTGCTGAATTCAGTGAACAAGGATGAAAAAATAGTATAAAGAAGCCTGGAAAGCACAAAAGTGATAAAAGCTTTAATAAATTCAGATTATTTAATGTACTGGAAATAAGTAAGTGGAGAAAGGCAAAACTTCTATCTTCAAAAGGCCTGACACCTCTTCTGCACCATCTCAATAGTGACGTGTCTCTTCCCCATCATTTTTATGTCAAATTTATGCATTTAATGCATTTCTCACAGCGCTACTTGAGGTAGATAAATACTATTGGGCAATTAAACCAAGGAACAAAAACCTGATATCTTCATAGACTCAATCTACCACCCCAGCGCTAGAACAACTCTATACTCCTTGTGGCTTCTGGATCCTGACCAGGACTAGGGGGCAGCTTACAATGCAGAACAGGGCATGGTTTGGCTTTGTGCAGGTCTGATGAATATTCATTTCTACACTACTGGCTTTTTTTTGTTTGCTTGTTTGTACGCTGATAACATTCTCTCTTGGCATCTCTTTGTTGCAATGACTGTGGCAGTAGAATCACATAGGGTCCGCTGGAGGTCATCTAGTCCAACCCCCCTGCCAGAGCGGGTCTACCTACAGGGTCTGCCTACCTACCTACAGCAGGTTGCACAGGAACTTGTCCAGGCAGGTTTTGAATGTCTCCAGAGGAGGAGACTCCACCACCTCCCTGGTCAGCCTGTCCCAGTGCTCTGCCACCCTCAAAGAATATTTTCCTCATGCCCAGATGGAATTTCCTGTGTTCCAGTCTATGCCCATTGCCCCTTGTCCTGTGACCGGGCACCACTGAAAACAGTCTGGCCCCAGTAGCTTCATCTCTCTCTTGTACTGGGGAGCCCAGAACTGGGAAACAGAACAGTTGGGAAAAAAGGTTGCATATTCTTCTCTAACAGTCATTTCCTCAGCAGGCATAAAGCAAACTTTTTCCCCCTATACCTTTTTTGGATCATACACAATCCTTTTTGTGCGTCCAGCCCCCTGCCTTCCTATCAGCAACCAGCCCCACGCAGAGGGAACACACCCCTCCTTTTCCCAGTACAGGAGATACTCCTGCCCCCATCTCAGGCAAAGTACAGCTATCTCTTTTGATGTGATAGAAGTCAATGTGCTGACATTCAAGTTCAAGAGGCTGAGGTTGGGAGGTCACTTGGGCTTCACTGTGAAGAGCAGCTGTAGACAGGAGTGCTAACAGCTGAGCACACTGATGTCACCATCCGGGATTGTCCTCTGTTGCACTGGCTGACTTCCAGCCCAATGCACTACCCTGTTTCAACCATGTCAAGCCCTGAGAGGGTACAGCAGAGGGTACAAAGATGATTAGGGGCCTGGAGCATCTCCCTTTCGAGGAGAGGCTGAGGGACTTGGGTCTTTTTAGTCTTGAGAAGAGAAGGCTGAGGGGGGATCTGATCAATGCTTATAAATACTTAAAGGGAGGGTGTCAAGAGGATGGGGCCGGTCTTTTTTCAGTGGTGCCCAGTGACAGGACAAGAGGAAATGGGCACAAACTTGAGTATAAGAAGTTCCACCTAAACATGAGGAGAACTACTTTGAGGGTGGTAGAGCACTGGAACAGGCTGCCCAGAGAGGTGGTGGAGTCTCCTTCTCTGGAGACATTCAAAACCCACCTGGACAAGTTCCTGTGCAATCTGCTCTAGGTGGACCGCAGGGGGGTTGGACTAGATGATCTCCAAAGGTCCCTTCCAACCCCATGCGATTCTGTGATTCTGATGTTAGTCTCCCATAGACAGAAGGACCATCAGTGCTATCGTTACAACCAGTTACCAGCATTCTTTTCTCTTTACTTAAATATTTTCAGCTTAAAAAGACTGACTTTTGGGGCTCAGGTTGATCTTCCCTCAGCCACCTGAAACACAAATGACTCAAGCTGGCAGCTCAGGCACTGCGTATGCAACCAGTGCCCGCCCCATCACCTGCTCAAGTGCTACAGATATTGTTAATTTTAAAACCAAGAATGCTCTGAAGAACACTGCTTCTTCCTCCAAGGAAACACCAGCTAAGTGAGAAATGAAAATCAATGTTTCTGAAGTGAAGATCAGAGGAAGGCCAGCATTGTTTGTACGCCCCTTGGCGCAGCAGGAGGCATCACTGAAAGCCTGATGCCGCACGTCAGCAGCCCCTGGGGAAAAAGGGACTTTGCTTTGTTTGAGCGTGCGTGGGGTGCTGCGCAGTTTCCATCTGTACCAAAACACACCCTACCCCTTGCTCCCCAATAATGCAATTCATAAACATAGCTCAGATTCATTATTCAGCAACTAAAATGGAAATAAAAGGAGCAGGCATCAGGGATCCCTTTTTGTGTGGATTTAGAAGACAGAAGAGATTGAGAGTGTTACCCTAACACAGCACAACAGGAAGGCAGGCATTTTAACTCGCCCAGTGTCAAATCCTTCCTGTTTCTTTTGGGAGGAAAAGGAATTATTTTTTGAACTAGGGACAACTATTTTCCCTTCATATCTCTACATCACAGCTCTTAAGGTCATAGCAAAGGGACACACTTCCCTTTCTCCGCCAGCTTCACTTTCAGCTTATATCACTTTCTAAGCCAAGACCACTCTGCTCTGATACTGCAAGATAATGGAATGCTCAAGTTAAATTCAGATAACCCTGCAGGTCGTTTAGTTGGAAAGAACAGCAAGGGAAATTTTGCAAAATGGATTTGTTTACCCAACACCCACCCATAAGCAACACTGAACCCACAACAGCGTGGAAGAGAAGGTGGGGTGGCCAAGAGTTTACTGCAGAGCAGTCCAAACACACCTCTGTCCCAAACTGAGTCTCCTTTTGGAGTCAATTCCTCACCTTTGTTTGAATGTTACACATGCAGAAGGACTAGGCGCTGACCATGGGGCAGATCCTCATCTTGCTGACTCCACTGCTCCACCAGGGCAAGCACAATCCACGCTGGAGTCCCAGGCTTGTTGCAACCACTACGTTTCCTCAGGAACAGAATGCTGAAGAGTGACTTAAGTTCACTTCAGTGCTTCCATGTTTCTGCCACTGCGAGAGATACTCTCCGCACAGCAAAACAAGTCAGGTCTTTGGCCAAAAGGCCCTGAGCCCAAGGTAACGTGGAACAGCGTAGTCCAGCAAAACTTCATACAGCTTCTCCAGCTGGAATGAAATATTGGCAGGCGACTTGCTCATCTTGCATAGCTTCATCAGCCAAGAACACTTCAGTCATCAGCAAACATGGTACAAATGCACAAGGTGTAATGAAAAGCCTTCCAAGAGAAAACAAGCATCCAGCTTCCAGGAGAGCAAGTGGGAGGACTTAGAAAACAATTAACATTCAGGCTGGAAAAAGAATCTTTAATGCTGTGTGAATTATGTTTGAAAATATGCTTTAAAATATGCTGCCTAGAAGGGAACCAATAACAGGGTGTGTGACCAGGAAAGCCAGGGTGGCATCATTTCAGAGAACATGACTGCAAAACGCTTAAGCACAGTTTACAGGATGTTTGAAAAGAGAACTTTCCCTGAAAATACGTAGCCATCCCACTACACGCACATGAAATTCCCCTCATCCTTTGCTGTGGAAGCTCACTGGTCTAGAATTAATGCCATGGATTGCGTTAACCTTTTTGTTTCCTCAGAAGTGAATTACTGCTGGGCAAACAAAGGAGAAGCTTTATTTTCCTTTGCTGTTATCACTCAAGCAAAACTACAAAGCTTCTCCAGGTAGCTGTGTGCTCTGTAGTGGTAAACATCATGGCCTCCCCACTTTGGAGGGGAAAAGTCAAGCCCAAAATGGGGTGAGACTGAGCACCACTGATGTGCTGTGTCACAGCAGCTACAGACCATGAGGCCTCCTTAAACAAAAGACAGGGGAAAACCCTGGGTCTGGTCCACAGTTCTATTTTCTACACCAGTTCCTTTGAAGCATATCAGCAATAGGCTGCTAAAAAGTGAAATGGATTAAAGAGCTGAAGAACTGACTCTTCAGAGAAGATCCTATTGGAAAAAAGGGCTTTTTTGTTTATTCATCTTGACAACATCCTTCTAAAAAGGTAATTTGGGTCAATGCAGGTTTTTAAATACTTTTTATTTTTAAAAGAAACCTTAAAATATGACAACAGGACAATGGGCATCATTCAGCAATATCAGTTTCTGGTCTAGAGAGGAAATTAATAAAAACCATCAGCATTTGAAAAAATAAATATGACTAACCATATGGAAAATGGAAAAATCAAATTAATCTTACAACAACACAGACAGGTATAAATGCTGAAATGTTGCTGCGCAAGGTAGAGGTAGAGGTAAACCAGACTTTTCAGACTTAGATCAGTTTTAGATTTGTGCCCACCGCCCCCCCACCCCGCCCCTTTCTCCCTGCAAACACTCCCAAAAGTTCCTGTTGCCAGTAATTTAATTTGAATCAGCCTGTCAGCCTCATCAAACTCAAGCGGGTCTGTGTGCTCCTTGTAATGCTCTGAGCTGGAAAACTATTTCAGTTTTTGTAGAAATTAGTTGCTAAGCAACCTCCCCCCCTAGTTTTGCAACTTGTGCAGCAAGGAAAGAGGCAGAAAGCTGGATTTTAGCTACCACAAGCCAATAAAATGCTCTCCGGATGACGTCCGCTAGGACAAGTAGATGGTAGAGCCCTTTTAGGAATTGCAATAGTCCATCAGCTCCTTGGTGGTCCACCTGGAGAATATGCGATGCCGCGCCTGGAGTTCCTCCACTGAAGAGAGCATGGTCAGCAGAAGCACCCCAAAACACTAGGTACTCGCTGTGGGGAGAGCCGATTGCCTTACACAGTATGTGGATACCGAAAACTCACATGGTAGGACACAACCCAGGAACCCTCTGTACAAAGCAGCAAGTATCTTGACACAGTGAAATAGAAAAAAAAACTAAAAATTGCACCACATACGGATTTTCCAAACAAACTCGAGACAACCAAAAGTCAGATCGTACAAACCGTTAGTTAAAAAAATACCTTCTTGTATATTTTGAGAGTAAGTGGAAAGAGTCTTCGTGCAAATGTTCAGCCTTGATCAAGCAGAGGACGTAAAATCGTTGTAAACGCATTAGCTCCTTTCTCACCTGCCGGCCGCGCCCAGCGTTATTTATCTTCTGCAGTATGATTAGGGTTAGGAAATCTGTCTCGTCTGTAAATACCACCTTACAAGTTCCACTGATGTACCATCAAGACACTACTGGTGTCATATCCCACAGCTGTTAATACAACAAGATATAATAACATAGTGAATAGTGGTAAAAGATAATAATACAGTACATAATGTCATCTCTAAATAATTTGCACCTTGTTTTTTGCTTAAGAGAGTCTATGTGGTTAGAGGTGGATGCAGCAAGTCTGGTGAAGTTTGATTTGATCTTCTAGCACTTATGTCAGACTGGTTGAGGTTGACCAAACGACATTCTCTATGTCACGATGCTTTACCCTGATGAGCCAGATTCATAGCTGGCTTTCAGAGAAACCAAAAAACCCACACTGTATTGCTGACTTGAAAGTTAAACATAGTCACAACAAATTGCGAGTTGTGGTTTTTTTAATTATTCCAGCTTTGTTATAAACTTAATTATTTTAGCTATTTCTTTATCTAGCCACACAAATGGAGATTCTCCATGTTGAAATACAGTTTGTCTTCCCAGAGGAAAAGATACATCGAGCACTTGCCCCAGCCCCTTCAGGCAATAACGTTATAGACCAAGACCTTCTTGGTCCTTATTTGGCACGAGTTCACCAGTGAGGGGTCTCTGGGTGGAAGAAAGCAGGTAGGACATACCTGCAACCACATGGGAGAGAAAGGGGAAATGACATACAGGAGCAAGAGCAACCTCCTTGTTCCTACCTTAATAACCTTGTCTGTCCCCGAGGTCAACAGCCATCCCCTGGTGGCATCAAAGTGTACGTGAACGATGTTGTGCTTACTGTCATGGAAAGTAGCCGTGGGCGCCCGCCTGAAGAAAGAAATCCAAGAATCAGCAAAGACTGTGACTGCAGGATTTTCCCCCAAAGTGTTCTCTATCAAGGAAATTAGTATTTGCGTGCTGCTGTAAGTCAGCATTCAGCAACCTGTCTGTAAACTCCACTTTGAGACCTTTCCAGCACAAGAGGAGCAGGGGTGGAGGGCTCTCCATCCCTTGAGGTTTGCTGGCACCACAGAGGCTTCCTGCTGTTCCGCTCCCACCCAGAGCCCTGCATCCGCCCAGGCCCTCCCAGCTGCAGGAGTTTTTCTCCACTCCAGTGCAAGGTGGCTCAGCGTCCACACTTACTCCTCATCCGTAATGGACTCGTGACAGCTGTCGCAGACCCTCACTTCGAACTCGAACCCCATCAGCGGGATGGAGGAGCGCTTGGAGCTGCATTTGCCACACACGGCCTTCCCACACTTCCGGCAGTGATGCTGTAGGAGACAACACATGGAAAGACATCTTCAGCCACAAACCCAGATCACTGCTCAGGTCCCACTGGCTCTACCATCTCACTCCAGCAAGAACCAGCCAACAGGAAAGTGACTCTTCCAGGGAAGATGAAGGAAAACAGGCAAGGACTTCAGAATAAATAGGGCGGGGGGAAACAATAAACAATCAAAATATTGGGTTTTTTCCCCCTCCTCCACTACCTGGGGCAAGCAGCAGCTGGTCACTAGTACGGACACTGGGAAGTGGCAGAAAAAGCACTACCCAGGCTAGGTGGACTCTACCTCTCTCCCAAGCTCCAGGGTAACACTATTCACCACCCAGTAAATCATCGCTGCCTCCACCATTTGGCATCTATGGATGTGGCTGTGAGTCAGGGCCTCTTCACTGAGTGTGACCAGTGTTGCAGGGGGGTTTCAGCAAGGTAGAAGGTGGAAGAAGGAAATCCAAGCTGTCATCTTTTTGTTAGCACAGCTAGAGACGGGAGGACAGGACAAGGAGGCCCCTAAGCACCTTGTGTGTCCCAGCCAGCCGGGCATTGGCCGCAGGGCTAGGAGCTATAATTAACCCTGTCCCTGGGAGTCTCACTTTGGGGGTGGTAGGGGATGACACCACCACTCAGCAGCATGTGACACATTAAAACATCTCCAGGTCAAGGAAGGACAGGGCTACATTAGCAAAGTGTCATTCTGGAGTCCCATCCCAGCCTCTAAGTACCATCTAATCATCCGGGTCAAGTCCTTTGGCCATTTTCAGCCCCAGAAGCACTAGCATTTCTGCATTTTGATGCTACCCGCCTCACGTTTTCTCATGCACTGGCTGTGTAGGACCACAGGGCTGCCTCACAGGCTGCAGAAGAGCCAGGCTCCGCAGTGATGAGCATTACACAAAGAGAAGATGCAGCTCAGCTCTGCCCCAGACACCTGGCTTCTCCAAGCTCCACGAGAAAATCCCCGTCAGAATTTTTACGCCACCCTCCCCAGAGTCTGTGATCCACAGCCCTCTCCTGCTGGGTAGGAAAACACAGTGGTGTGTTCCAAGCAGACCAATAAGCTCTTTCCAGTACAGCCTGAGCAGTTACAGATGTTTACTTAAGCCCATTGAAAACAACTTTTGGTTCCAGCACCATGTCCAAAAATCAGCTGCAAATTTCTCTCTACAACACAGTCAACTAACAATAAGCAAAATCCCACATGGCTAAAGCCATGGAAGTCCCCAAAACAATTTCCTCAGCCCAAGGCCTATTACATGCATTTGCCATTGGGACTGACTGGAAAAAAAAAAAAAAAAAAAAAAATTCTGATAAAATATTATACTGCAGTGGAAACAAAGTATTAAAAAAAAGAAAAAAAAAAAAAAAAAAAAGTATTCTGATCACAAAATCAAGCCTCTCCAGAGGGGAGCCCACTGTCCCACTATCGAGCACTCAGTAGAAGAGCAAAATGAAAGTTCTCAAGGCTTTAGGGGAAAAAAAGGTTACCACAAACTATTATGAGAGAAAAGCCTAATTGTACCATGTTAAGACACCAAAGGATGCATACAAACCTGCCTGAGGCCTATTTTCTTACTGTCCCACATTTGCTTGAAGTTCCAGAAGAAAGGCTGGTCACATTTTTGACAGGAATCACTATCCAGCCACTCAGGGGTCTGCAACACACATACACATGGACAGAACGAGGGAGTGAGCAACAAACAGAAAAGCTTCCAATGGAGCCCAGAGACAGGATGAGGAAGATGTATTGGGGTGTGTTAACATGGTCAACTAAAATGCATGTAAAACCCCCATTATCACAAGATGCCATTTTGAATGTTCTGTGGGATGTCTATTTTGGCTCATTTCTGAGCCTTGAAGAGCATGGGAAGAACACTTCTCACCCAAATCATGAAGCAGAGTTCGATTATAAGACCATAAATAACCCAGGAACAAACAAGCCTCCTCCACCTCTCCAAGTTTGGAATTAAGCATATAAAAACATTCTGTCCTGTCCTGTCTGGACAGCATTTACCATCTGCTATTGCCTCTGGCGGGAGCTGGAGGCAACTAGTATTTCAAATAGCCAAGCTACTCATCTGGAGAAAAGGGGGAGGTATCAGAAATGCGCTAGTTTTTTAATTATTATTTCTTTCTTTTAATACTGTAAGAGGCGTTCCTGCTGTCAGAGGTGCCTTTGCCACAAATCACACATAGGGGTGAGCAAGATGAGATTCACTCGCGCAAACCTAAAACCCAAACCAGCTCTTTTCCCTGCTTTTACACTAAGATGATGGAAGGAAGGTCTTCCATTTCCTAACGCAGTGCACCCATGGTGTGGATCATAGAATCGTCCATGTTGGAAGGGACGTTTAAGATCATCTAGTCCAACTATCAACGTAACTCTGATTAAAAAACAAACAAACAAGAAACCAAAACACAAACCCATACTAAACCATGCCACTAAGCTCTATGTCAACCCATCTTTTGAATACCTCCAGAGATGGTGCCTCAACCATTTCCCTGGGCAGCCCATTCCAATGCTTAATAACCCTTTCAATGTAAAAAAATTTTCCTGATATCCAATCTGAACCTCCCCTGGCATAACTTGAAGCCATTTCCTTTTGTCCTATTGCCTGTGACTTGGGAGAAGAGACCGACCCCTGCCTCACTACAACCTCCTTTCAGGTAGCTGTAGAGAGTGAGAAGGTCTCCCCTCAGCCTCCTTTTCTCTAGACTGAACAACCCCAGCTCCCTCAGCCTCTCCCCAAAGCCTTACTTTCTAGACCCCTCAGCAGCTTCGTTGCCCTTCTCTGGACCTGCTCCAGTGCCTCAATGTCTTTTCTGTGGTAAGGGGGCCCTTAGATGAAGCAGGTAAGACTTAAAGAAAGAAAATATTAAAGGTAATTCTTTCTCCTACAGCTAGGTTTTGCTATGCAGAGTAGCATGGACCAGATGTTCTGGTGTAGGGAAGCAGGTCTTGACAGACCCTGAAAAAGCTCAGGTAATACCTGACATGGCAGGGGGCATGTGGAGGGGGCAGTCAATCTCCTCCCCTACATTTGGGTTCCCCAACACTTGTCCTCCATTGAGCTGCTGGGGGACCCGCAGTGCATCTCCCCGCAATGTTTAGGAAACCCTTCCTAGGATGTGAGACTTAGGAAAAGTCTTGGTTCTTGACCCCTTTCCAGTGGCTGTCAGTCTCTCTGTCCTAACCTGGCTTAGCAAGAGTGACACTTCTTCCCAGCAGATGACTTCTGCTCCTTTCTCAGCCCCACCAGGACAAGAGCTCAGCCCAAAGCTGGCAAGCAGGTCCATCCTGTCCCCGCAGTGGGGCAGCCCCTGCCAGACAGGGCCAGCCCTGCCAGTGCTGCCTCACAACTGCAATGTGCTCCCACCAACCCTGTGCGACTAAATAAACACTAAATAACATTGAAGACTTTGTGAAGAAGTGCTATTAGTTTAACAGAGCCACCGGCTTCTGACATGCTGCAATTTAAAATGGTGAGAAACACAGTTGAGATTGAGAATTAAAAATAATACAAAGGCGAGGCAAAGATAAGGTAAGGCTGATGGAGGCTCTCAGCTCTCAGGACAGCGTTGACCCCCAGCAATAAAGCAACTACCTGATTAGAGCTTCTTCTGACAGCTACTTTGAAGAGTAACTGGGACAAATCCCTGCGTTTTCTATCCGCAACAGTCTTTTCATTTAATGCCTACGGATTTACATCTGCATGTATAAAAGTTTTCATCTCTTAAGCATCTGAACACTGTACATGAAGAAGACATTTTGCTCGTGACAAGTAACCACTTTGTAGTCTAATAGAAACACAGCGTCTAGCACCTTTCAGATGTTCTCCACTTCCAGTTTTAAAAAAACTGGAGATTAAAATAAGGAATCAAGGGCTAAAATGGCTTAATTCACTCTAATGCAATCTTAGAGATGTGGGAAAATCTGACAGCATCAAAGTGAGTACTGAGCACACATCACAGAGAAAACCCCTACGGGCAGAAATCCCAAAGCCAAAATTCAGAAGAAAACTCTCTAGAACCCCAAACCAAGGCGTGGTATTAACAACCCCAAAAGTTCATGTTTTGGAGGTGATTTAGCACCATGAACACCCTATTGAGCTACCCATAAAGGGAACAAGCCCACATAGCCATAGTCAGAGAAAGCAGCGCCCTCGTTAGCACCTGCTGCTAAGCCCTCATTTAGCTAATTATATTTCTCCTCCACTTTTCAAACCAGCCCTCTCACAGCATTGCCGCCTGTTTTGTGACAAGCCAGTCTTAACCCTTACTGTAGCCTTTCGAAGGCAGCAAATAAATAAAGGTTTTCATTTCTGGATGTTGGAGTTGCAGCAAAAAGGAAACATCTGTTGGGAAGGAGGAAGCCGCTCTGCTTTCGTTTCACTTTGGAGCTGATGACATAATTGGCCATTAGATTAGCCATTAAAGAGAGCCAACTGGAATGCTAATTCACATAAAAAAGGGAGCTCAGTTCCTGCCTAGGCCTGTTTCAGTAGGGTTTTTTTTTTTTAATCCAATTTTCCACTTAGCTTTCCTCCTTGGCTCCAGGGAGACACACACCATCAGGGGAGGCCAAAACCCTGGAGAACCAGCAGAGCTGGTGCAAGCCCATGCTGCCAAAAGCCTTGCTGAGATCTACCCTCTGCAGGGAGTCGGGGTGCCTTCCTAACCCCTGCGGGAGCGAGGTGACTGATGTTACCGGGACGTGCCAGGCTGGGGAGCAGGGCTGAGGCCTGACTCACCCAGCGCAGGCCTCGCTCCCCCTCTCTGAGTCAGGGCTCCCAAACTGCCGAGCGGAGGCTGCTCCCGCGGCGCCAAGGACCCGGGGATGGGTTTTTGCACCCCCTTACACTCGTTGGACACGCAGCACAAAAGCAATTAGAGGAGCGTGGGTGAAACCTTGCTGTCTGGAGCGGCACAGTCATCTTTTACTCCACTTCTGAGTGGTTACACCAGAGGGAAGCAAGATTGAGTAGCGGGTGAGATTGAAGCCCCAGTTAAATGTCTTTTTAGCTAGAACATAGGAAAAAAACAACAACAAAAAAAAAGGGGACTGCATGTTTCCAGAGATGACAAAGAGCTTTCTTGTTTTCTTTGCTTAAAACACCAAATAATTATCAATCCATCTATCCATTTACCTCTGAACTGATAATATTTCTCAAGTTGTCCTGAAAAACAAAGCAGAACACCTCACAATACCCTCCTTAGAGAATGCCTTTTGGAGCAGTAATGTAAAGGGTAAGAGCCATTTAGCAGCCTACTTAATAAGCATTTTCTGCCAGAGAATTTCCCCTGTACCATATTATCAAAGGCACGGCATAATTGCTGTATAACAACTGGAGCATGTCCAAAAACATTTTTAAAGCCTGGAATGATATTGTTCAGGTTGAAAGTCGCACATTTCAGAATGTTCCCAACAGTGCTTCAGACCAAATTGACAAGAATCAAGTATCTACCTCCTGCCTCTCAACATCCATGTTCCAGACGACGATTCCCCCATCTGCACCACAGGAGATGAGCTGCCGAGTGTGGTGAGCGTAGGAGAGAGACTGAACTTTATCGCTGAAAAAGAAACGAGACAGTTACTAATCAACCATCTATGGCGAGCACACAAGTAAGCACAGAATATACAATAAAGTAGTATAAACTACTTGTTTGCCCATATGTCCTCCCCTCCCTCTCACTGTACATGGTGTCCATCAGATGCAAATTGGTCTTTGCTGGTCCCAGCCAGGACCAGAACCAGAGTGTTGCTCATCTGGGCAGCATCCACAAAGGCAAAGACCTGTTCTGATAACTGCTTTTGGGGCTCCTGAGATGGGAGGTCACAGCTGCACTGGGAAGCCTGAACAGAGCTGCAGTGCCGGCCCTCTCCAAAGGCATGTCTGGATGCAGAAATGCAGCCCCAGTAAGGTACTTTCTTGTCAGAAAGTCAGTAACAACTTTGCTTCTGTAAATCTCTGCGACAAATAGGAATGAAGAACTGAGGAATGACTGAAGACTTTCTTTTAGTACTAACAAGCACAGAGAGTTTTAAAAATAATATAGGAATCACTAAATTGTTCCTAAGCCTTCCCAAGGTAAGGTGGAAGATTTACATGCTTTTGCTTCTTCTTTTAAGGAAAAAGCAATATGGGAGAAATAACGCAATTTAAAGCCCCAAAGCTGTGCTCATTACTTCATAAAAGAAAGAAAACCAGGCGACATCCTTAGGACCAAGTCTCTACGCAGTACAGTGCCAGCCAACAGATGTCTCTGCTCATTGCAGGCGGTTTGGACTAAATGAACTTTAAAGGTCCCTTCCAACCAAACTATTCTCTGATTAAGATCCAGAGGCTAACTTCGTATTAGGAGAACTGATTTCCACAGCAATAAATCTAGCAGCAGTCCATTAGCAAGCACCACTGGTCGTGTATGAGGGTGATCTGGGAATTTCAGCAAGAGCTCTGCAGTGCTCCGAAATCCCAGGGGCATCCAAGTACCTCAGCAGAGTGCAGCATCGCTCGAAAGACAAGTATGAATATGTAAGAAACTGTTAGACCAGAACCACCATGGGATTTTGCCTCTCCAGAGCTGAGCGCAGCATATAAGTCCCACGTATATGCACTCCCAAGACATTGAAACAAACTTGCTGCATTGCTAGTGTTAAAAGGCCAGGAGGTCATTGCAACTAGAGTCATTCTGATCTCTCCTCAATGCCCAGGACAAGCTTACTTTTCTTCAAGGACATAGAATCATAGAGTTGCCTAGGTTGGAAGGGACTTTTAGGATCATCTAGTCCTACCATCAACCTAACTCTGATAAAAAACCATCACTAAACCATGTCACTAAGCACTTTGTCAACTGTGAGGTCTGTAGGTGCAAAGATGAAGACTCTTTGGGTTGAGTCGATGGTGAAGGCTCCTATATGTAAAGCACGTTACCTGCAGCCTGAGTTCAAAGTAAAGTGCTGTGGAAAAAGTTAGCATGAAGGAAAAAGGGACTAATTGTCCAAGCCTGATGCTCCCTCTAGGGGAAGGAAAGACCTTGACACCTAAAAAGCAACAATTTCCCTGAAGCTGCTGTCTTTGAGGACTCTCCTCTTTCCAAAAAGGGCGCAGGCTCTGGCATAACACATTCAGGACTGTAAACATTATGCTTTCCTTCACCATCCTTTGCAGACTCTCAAACCAGCCTGTGGGCCCAACACTGAAAAACTCACAACAAGGAACTCATTCCAGTTGTATATGGACCACACATACAAGCTTGAGACATGTGAAGACTGCAAACTTTGGGCTGTTTCTTTCAGGCTAAAGGCAGAAGCCACATCTGTTCTCCCATAAAAGCAGGAGGAAGTGCTTTGAACGTACTTATGTCCTTGCAGCTCGATGGCTGTTCCTTTTCTTCCTCCAATGTCCCACATTATAATGGAATGATCAGAACTGCCTGAGAATAAAACTCGCTGTATAGGGTCCCAACAGAGAGCAGTGACACCACCTGAAATAGAAGGTGCACACAACCATCATTTCATTACAGAAAGTGGAAGACAGGAATGTAGTTAAATATATATATAAAAATATAACAGAAAATACAGAGAGAGTGATTGAAATGCAGGGCTCCTTAGCAAAGGCCATGCAGTCACTGTGCTTGCCAGTCGAAAACGAACAGCCTAGAAAACTGACTGAAGCCCCATCCTGCTTTTCTGCGGGCAGAGGGCTCCACTGGCACTCACACGGATGAATTCACTGAGCAGTAAAGCATGGTGGAAGGATAGTCATGGTGTGACTACATAGCTTTTCACCTCCATCGTTCCAGGAGATAGATTTTATTACAAAAGAGAAGCAAGTGTGAAATACTATGAGCACCTTCATAGTATTCTAGAACAAGGATTGAACTACCTTGTGCTACCTTGTGATTGAGCTATTAACATTCAATCAGAGAGGAGGGATAAGGAAAGAAAATGCTCAGGAATGATCTCTATATCTTCTGTTAGATGGCAAGATCACATCCTGGAGTTGCTGTTTTTAAAATGTGATGGGGCACAAGCAAAACAAGCAGTTAGCGCCTCCAAGATGTGCCTATTCCACTTGGGCAAAAGCATCTACCAACGTGGGTCTTTCCTTGAGGAACATCCTTTTCCCTCCCAGAGTTACCACAACTTGTTCTACTCTCACTCTGCTTTAATTAGCAGCTACTGATGGCAATGTTTTCTGCCACAGAAGTTGTCTGATCACTCTCGGTTTTACCAATAAAGAATAAACTTCCCTGAGCTGTAGGGACATTTCATGGTCTATCTTCCTTCCATGCTGTACACTGACACAAGCCATTCCAATGTTTCACAGGAGAGTCAAACCACCATGATGCTGAGCACAGATGAAGAAACAAATTTTGTCTCCTCCTGAGGCCTTACCTGTGTGTCCCTTAAATGTTGTAACCAGGCTGCAGGACTCTTGCTCTAGTTTGAGTATGGTCACTTGCCCAGAATGATCACCAACAAACACGTGCCGGGTTTCCACATCAAATCTGATGGATAAATGCTGAGGAAAATCCATTGCTTATACAAGCTTTGCATTCCTTTCATGACTTGTTAATTCTTTTAACATGAGTATACTGCAACTTTGTGAATAGCACTTCAGTCTCGAGATATTCAGAGTGCACTTTTAGGCATCAAGCTCATACCTGTTCATATTAATAGTAGAGTCTCCTTCAGTAAACCAAAGAGTGCAAAAAAATGAGGATGTGATTTGTATCTTTGTTATGAAACACCTTTGAAGTATCCTTTTGCCACGAACAGAGGAGTCATCTCCATAGGCTCTCTAACTTAAGTGCTAGAGTTGGATGGATCCTCTCTGTTTCCCTTCCAAAAATTGTATAAAATACCTATTACTAGTTTTTTGATCCTTCATTATGGTTAAGTATACAAGTATAATGAAAGAGCATTGTTTTATGTTGTATTTGAGAAGTGTCAGCTACATCAGGTGCATCACACATCATAGTCTAAAGTGAATAAAATCTGGACCCATTCAACTACCTGGAAGAACCATTTATCTGGACAGATTCTGACCTCTTCATCCAATTTAATTCCACATTAAGAGTCCAATACTAGATATTTTAGGAGCAACCGGAGCTTTCTCTTCTTCGGGCCGAACAACCCCAACTCTCTCAGCCTGTCCTCATAGGAGAGGTGAGCATCCCTCTGATCATGTTTGTGGCCCTCCTCTGGACCTGCTCCAAAGGTCCATGTCTTTCCTGTGCTGAGGGCTCCAGTGCTGGATGTCAGGGTGGGGTCTCACCAGAGCACAGTAGAGGGGCAGAATCACCTCCCTTGACCTACTGGTCACCCTTCTTTTCATGCAGCCCAGGAGATGGTTGGCCTTCTGGGCTGCGAGTGCACATTGTCAGCTCATGTCCAGCTTTTCATCCATCAGTACCCCCAAGTTCTTCTCGACAGGGCTGCTCTCAATCCCTTCATCGTCCAGACTGTATTGATACTGAGAGTTGCTCCATCTCACCTGCAGGACCCTGCAGTTGGCCTTGTTGAACCTCATGATGTTCACATGGACCCACTTCTTGAGCTTGTCCAAATCCCTCTGGAGGGCATCCCATCCCTCAGGCGTGTCAACTGCACCACTCAGTTTGGTGTCATCTGCAGATTTGCTGAGGGTGCACTCAATCCCACTGTCAATGACGTTGTTGAAGATATTGAACAGTACTGGTCCCAATATGGACCCCTGAAGAACATCACTTGTCACCAGTCTCCATCTGGATATTGAGCTGTTGACCACTACCCTCTGGATGCGACCATCCAACCAATTGCTCATGCACCAAACTGTCCACCCATCAAATCCATGTGTGTTCGATTTAGAGAGAAGGATGTTGTGGAGGACTGTGTCAAAGACCTTAGAGAAGTCCAAATAGATGACATCCATACCTCTTCCCTTGTCCATTGATGTAGTCACTCCATTGTAGAGGGCAACTAGGCCATCATGATCTGATGACCCAAATTAAAGTGTCCTCCAAAATTTTGAATCACTCAAAACAGTCCATTCTCTAGAGAGGTTTAGGAAATACAGGACAAATTCCTGCATCACACTTTCTAAAGTATTTAACATTCAATTAAAAATTAAGTTCAGTTTTTATGCCATTTACATTGGCTGAATGACCAGATGATATAAAGCAAGTCCGCGTTCAGACAGTAATTTAGAGTAAATCTCATTTCCCATGAACTAGCCAAACACACACCATCTATACCACATACACTACTGGGCACTAAAAAGTCTGTTTATGCTAACCCCTGGTTTCAGCCTAAGAGCTCATACTTTTCCATTTCCCTTTTCATTTGCAATAAAGCTGAATTAATATTTCTTTTATTGTCAAGCAGCTGGGGCAGCTCTAGGTGAATAAGCCACATGAGTACCATTTCTGGAGCCATTTACTCCTTTGTTAACCCAAATTCCCAATACACACTGGGCTATTCCAGAGTGAAGGACAAGTACTCATTATTTTATATTAATGTAATTTAATTTTTACCATGCATACACACAGGCACGCTGACCTGATCACCGACCTACTTTGCTACTGTTAATTCTTAGAAGAAAGCATGCCCTGCATGTTTAAATGAAGGTCCTGTCCATATTTATTACAAAAGCAGACCACAATAGGTTTCAGATCGCTCATTGTTTTGCTCAAAAATGCTTAGACCTAAATATGCCACCATGCATTAAGGAGACAAAGCAAGAAGAACAGACAGTTTTTAAAATTGGCTTTAAATAACGGGTTTCTCTCACAAATCGCTGAACCTACGCAGGGCACAAAATCTGGAGGACAATTAGGAAAATAAACCAAAGAGGCTGTTTAAGTGCCAAAGAGCAGAAATAAAGCTGAGATCTCAGCAAAGGATACTGCAGACCACATGCGCCCGCGCTGGTGTACGCAGGGCACAAAATCTGGAGGACAATTAGGAAAATAAACCAAAGAGGCTGTTTAAGTGCCAAAGAGCAGAAATAAAGCTGAGATCTCAGCAAAGGATACTGCAGACCACATGCGCCCGCACTGGTGCGGTACCCTCCCAGCCGCTGGCCGCTCTCTGAACAGTGCCACGTGAAGTTTTTGTCTTGTCCGGTGCTTAACACCCACTCCATCTCCAGGACAAACAGAATCATCATGACCCTGCTTTGATGAGCTGAAAATGAAGCAGACAGACACATAACCAGATTGTGGAGAAGAAGACAGGAACACAGCACCACCACAAATACCAACTGCACCCAAACTCCTCCACTCCCTAATCACCCGTTCACCCTTCCCCACAGAAGCAGCTGGTGTTTAACCATCCCCTTGACACGAGCTACCATGCAAGCTTCTAAGGTCCCTGCTCTGCATGTTCAGCGTTTGCATGAGAAAGAGCAGAAGCAAGACTTAATTCCTTCCATGCCTTTTGCAGCCATTTGTCTTCAACAGTAGCACAAGTCTTCCTTCCATCATCGTACATCATCACCAACAGAGCTGCCATTGTGGAAGGCACTCTGGGCTCTGCTTAAACCTCTTTTGAGCTGGTTTTATGACAGCGGTGCAGATGCCTACGCTGCTGCTCCTCCTGCTGTGAGGTCTGGTGGATCTGGGCTGCAGATTGTGGGTCTCACCCCAGCAGAACGGTGAGTTACAGCACAGGCACATCCCTGCACCAAAGGGAAGTTTTAGCATTGCATGTAAACTAGCTAAAAAGGAAATTAGAAGGAAATAAAATACACACACACACCCCCTTCCTACCCCTCCCAAAAAAAAAGATCACAGCTGGGCAAGATGAATAAAACAGCTGAAGGAATAAATTTCTACTGCTACCTAAATAAAGCCATCAAAAGCTTTTCATTAAAGGAAGAGAACCCAGGCTTGCACAGGCGGGTTTTTGTGTGAATGACCAGTGGGCTTGGTCATGAAGTGCTGATTGAGCCGGCTTTTTAATAAAACAAGTGGCTGGAAAGACATGAAGAATTATTCCCAGCTGTAACTTAGCAGTGAATGCCACACTCCTCAATCTGCCCTGCTGCTTTATTACTGCTCTGAGACCCAGCAACATGTGTCGCACAAAGCAGGCTGCTTGCTTTTGTTTGTGTAAAAGCTGACACACTGGAAAGATTAAACATTTTTGGAAGCTTAAAAAACCAACCCAAAACCTCTGTTTGAAATGCAGAGAAATTTCTCAGAACAGTCCGGGAAGATTGCTGCCTGCCCTATACAAATACACAGCAGAGATGAGAGCTGTCTTCAAACCCTACCAAGGGGAACCAGTTGCAGCAAAGAATGGGAGGCTTGCACAAGCTAACATCTGCCCCTGATCCACACTGCTTCTTAGACCCAGATTCCCTGAGGAGAAAAGTCAATAGATGCATTGATGCAAGGTGACATAACTGTGATTGGCAGCTGGACTAGTTTACAGCCTCAGACTTCAACTGTGCTCAGATGCTTTCACCCTTGCCATAGAAGAGCTCAGATTTTGGCTCTCGTTTCCATACACTTTTAAACTCCATGTCTGTAATCAGGATAGAGGGATGGCAACCACCCAGGAGTCACCCGAGCTCTTTTAAACAGATCCTCTCTTCTCTCCACCATCCAGATTTCTTCTCTGGGAAGAAATTCAGCAACCCCACGGGTGACTGATGTTTGTCTTTACCTATCCATTGGTCTCCCTGGGAGCATCTGCTCTAGCTGGTGGAGTGGTGCACTGCAGACAGGGCCACGATGGGGTGAGATGCACGCATCTGCAAGCACCTGATGGGCTTGTACACATGTTCCAGGGGCTTGTGTGCACCAGTGGCACCATAGACAGACCCATACACTTCCACAGGTCATGCAAAGCTAGCTGAGATCAGGCTGTTCAAGGCCTCTCTAGGGATGTTGTCTCAGCCTGTGGCAACCGCTGCCAAGGGGGAGAGAAGGGTTTCTTCAACACTTGCAGAGCATCCCAAACGGCAGCGTTCAAACACTTGCACCACCCCTCCTCACACAAGGGAAGGAGTTGGTGCCTGTAGGAGGCCAAAGCCCCATGACCCACGCCAGAGTCCTGACTAATAGTGTGTCACATCCCCAGTCTCTGCACTTTAATCTCATTTTGAGAAAAAGAAGATTTTGCAAGTCTAGACACAGCGTTGCAGCAAAATCTCCATAGAGCATGGTGTGCCACCTGTGCTCAGTTCCACCTGTGTTCAGTTGCCAGAGGACACTGGAGTTGGCCGCAGACCCCGGCCAAGACCAAAGCACAGCCTGTGCACGTTCTGTCTTCCTCCGTCACTAGCAGATCATTTGACAGGCGTATTCATGGCCTTTTGAGATGCAATTAATGTCCTTTAATCACTACAGCATCTTTAGCTACTTAAAATAATACCTTTTTGTGGGACTTGATCAATAACCAGCCAGGCACTGGGCAAGGGGCTGCTTTTAACAGCATTGCTGAACATTTACAAAAAAAGCTAGGAAAGGCAAAACCAGCCAACTGTGGCTAAGCTAAAGCTCCTTGGTCGTCTAAATAAAATTATTTATTCCCCCTAAAATATCTTTAAAGGCTTTACTTGACAACTTTAGACAAAACCAAACAAACAACACTTTTTAAAGCAAGGCTTTTAACAAATGAACCACTAGAAGGCTGCTATACTTAACAAAACTACATACTCCCTTTAAATTATGTTTTTCCTTGCCTGAAGGCTTTGCTGAGGTGCTTATGCCAACCCCTGTACCTTGACACAGCCATGTGAGGAAGGTGGACTACAGGGATGGGATTGTGGAAGGGAGTCACCCTGGACTGAGGGGAAGGCTCACCTCTGTTGGATCACGACATGCCTACCCAAAGGACTAACTGACCTTTCCTTGCATATTCTCCCGGAGAACATGGTGAACACGGGGCCCTTCCCACCTTGTCCCAGCAGTGCTGTAGGACTCTGGTCCCAGTGACATCCCCAGTAAGCCCAGATCCAGCATCCTGGATGGAGGCAACTGTGAGGAGCACAGAAGTACCTCGTGGTGCACGGTCCAATGGAGATGTAGGAGCCTGTGATTAACAGCAGTCCCCAGAGCATATCACTTCTGTGATGCTTACCCAGCACCCCAGACTTCCAGTACAGGTCCAGCCAAGCCCAGGAAGTGGCAGAGTGGGTGCTGCACTCCCCTACCAACACATGGGATGAGGAATGGAGGATGAGGAAGCATGACTCTATAGATGGGGGTGGTGGGAGGCACTGTGCTGTAGAGCAGCAGGCAGCCTCAGGTCATCCATGTGCTGCAAACAGCAGGGAGTCAGTTTTGTTTTCCTTCCTTGAACTGTCCCTTGGGACTTTGAGTGACACTTTCCAGTGGAGCTGAGGCAAGCTGAGATTGTCCCTGAGTTGCTGTAACCTACTCAGTGTCATGTCATTCTTGGCCTGGACAGAGGGGGTTAGTTGTCAGGGGTGGAGTCCATGATTACTGCTCCAGATGGTGCCAATTCACCGGGACCCATGTCATTATTAGTGTTATTATTCCAGTTGCCAACTGGGGTTAAATCACCACACAGTCAAGTGGCTGTTCTGCCATACTGACAATATATATGTTCCCCACTTCCAAAATTTTGAGCCTTTTCCCTGAAGAGTTCAGCAAGAAAGGTGGTCTCATGCACGTGTTGTTCTGCATATGCAGAAGAAAAGATTTCAGCTCACCCTTCCCAGGCTGTGATTAGTCTGCAAGCCTGAGTCCAAGCACGCAAATGCTCACAACATAAGGGGCTACAGAACAGTTCAGTGCAACAAGCCTCAAACACGAAACCTAGCTGTGTCAAACTTTAGTGATTGTGGAGCAATCACGATTTTGGATGCTAAAAATTGATACCATCAGACTGCAGCAATCTTAATGTAAGACTCACATATATACATTATCATCTCTGGATGTTTTTCTTCAGTTTCTACAAGCCAAGAAAAAAAAGCAGGCATTCTAGCTTAATTTTACAACACACCAGGCATTCATGAACGAGCTGAAGTAAAATACTTGAAAGTCAATGCATGTTAGCCATGCTCTGCAAAAAATCAAGATTCTATTCATACCTTAAAATCTAAATGTTACAAAGTGATCCCCAGAGCTTCCATTTAGAGATTTAAATTATCCTCCCAACCTTTCAAGGTATAAAACTCAAAATATATGAGTAAACACGTATTTTAAAATGTATGTGAGAAATCCCAAGCCAACATATCACAGGCTTCTATACAGAAACATAATGTTTAGCATATAATATGACACGATACCATAAAATATCATACCACCTCTTAGTCTAACAGCAAAACAGATACAAGAATAAATCGTGTCATATAGGTATTCTTGTAAAAGTAACAAATATCTCAAGTGCAGTGTCCTTTAGAGGTCTGACAAGGATAAATAGCCAGGTTTCTTAAAACACCACATTAGTGAATATCAGAATATAATTAGAAAAGGTATGGATTAGCGTTTCTTGACCTTTTACTATGACAGGTATTCACTGATAATCTTGAGATTACTGAAACTGACAGTTATTGAAATATAACCGGATTAACCCCAAAAGCTACAGTCCTAAATGTTTTAGCCCTAAAAGGTGGGTTAATTCCTTAAATTGTTTAATTAGATACACTGAATTACTAAAGGTTAAAAATTAATACTCCTCTTCCCCAAATGCGACCTGGACAGTTTGCTCTCTATAATGATATTCCAAAGGAACATTTAAAAGGAAAAACAGAACATGAAATAGCTCTTTAAAAGTCTTGTAATCTCAGAACAAAGCACATTATTGATCTATTGCTAAAACCAGTATTTACATTAGTTTAAAAAATAAAATAAAATCAATCACTGCAAAGGAGACTTCTCTCCATTCACACTCCCTAAGAGAATATTAAACAAAAATTAATGACCATCCAAACCAATTTACACAGATCATGGTTCTTACCCTGGTAATTTTTCACTAGTGTCATCTTGTTGTAATCTTCTGATAAAATGAATTCCTGAGGGAGAGGAAAGAAAAAACAAAAGAAACAGTGCTTAGAGACTTAAAGTGTTTGAGAGCAGTTTTATCTGAATTTGTTACCAAGGTAAGCTTTCTCTTCTTTGCAACCACAGCCTTGTCTATAGTTTTGCTAATTTTACGTACCTCTATCTAAAAAAACTAAATTATTCCATTTTTTAAAGCTGCCTAAGGAACAGCACCATGAGTGCTTCTGAACAGAATGGTGGAGATAAAAGAGGAGCTATTAAAAAAAACAAAGTCAAGAAAGCTGACAGAAATGGCTGGCTATGAGCCGAGGTACCACAAAAGCAGACCTGAGATCCGGTGTGTAGCAAATGCCTGTTGCTCAGGACTGCCTGGGCAGAAACCTGCATGCATGTGTCTATACATGTGTACACTATGTACATACACTACACCCTGGTGTGGTGGGACCCAGCCTGCAGGCTTGACCCTGTGGCCAGGGAAGAGCACTCATATGGGGACTGGCTCAACTGTCCTGCTGCCTTGGTGCTGCTGATTAACCACCAATATGGCTTTGGCATGAGGAAATGATGAAAAAAGCAGCTAAGAGTCTACACGGGAGCCTCAGCTCCAGGAAAAACCCCATGTGGTTAAACTGACTGAGCACCTGGATGTCCCTGTGGCTGGTTTTAAAGAGGAGAGGTTGCTTGAAGCACGGGAAACAGAGTGGCCACAACACAACTCCGGCAACATCTCTCTGGAGGAAACACCCAGGAAACACAAGGGGTAGGCTCTGAAGCACCGCCGCATGAGTTAGCTGTCACACTGCTGACAGGCATCTACATGCGTACACCGTGTACCCAGAGAAACACAAAGGAAAAACAAGGAGTGTAAAAACACATCATATTAATAACTTAGAGCAAACTACACGGAATCACAGCGTAGTTTTCACAAAGAAACTCCCTGAATCACAGAAACTCCCTGAAGCATAGAATTATAGAACTGTTTGGGTTAGAAAGGACCTTAAAGATCGTTGAGTTCCATCCCCCCTGCCATGGGCAGGGACACCTCCCACCAGAGCAGGTTGCTCAAAGCCCCATCCAGCCTGGCCTTGAACACCTCTAGCCAGGGATGGGGCATCCCCAACTTCTTTGGGTAACCTGTTCCAGTGCCTCACCACCCTCACTGTAAAGAATTTCTTCCTGATATCTAACCTAAATCTCCCCTCTTTCAGTTTAAAACCATTACCTTTTTTTCTTCCTATTGGTCCATTCCCTGATTAAGAGGGGACAGAACAAGTAAAACCTAACTTATTTAATCTGGAAGTAGGGTGAAAATAAGAGAAGGACTATAAACACAACATAAGTTAAATTTTAAAGCATACAGTTGTGAAATATTCATGTATAAGCACTGCGAAAAGCACTGTGCAACATCAGAGAAGACTGGACTTCAGAAGCCTACAAACTGTATTTAAGGTAAACCAGACATTTAGTACAAAAGAGCATGAGAAGACATTCTAACTACCAAAAAAACCAGTATTTACCCAGAGTTTCCAACCAAGAATGAAAAATTTCACTCTGCATTTTCTGTGGGGTCACTGTAGGTAATCTGCACAGCTTTCCAGCGCCAGGATGACCCTGACAGGTCATGTCTACTGCTTGGCATCAAGGTGGAGAGACTACAGTATTCATTTGTCAAAGTTCTACTTTGACTACTAAGCTTCCAGGAAAACAACTGTTAGTTGAGGCAGCTATGTATTTTGCTGTTTCTAGGTTTCCGTTCCTAAATTAGTTATAAATATGTTCTCTTAAATTGTTCTACTTCTTCCTTTCCTTAATCTGCTCCACCTCCTGTTAGCTCTCCTCTGGCAGCTGTGGCCTACAGTGGGGAGTATTATTTAAACAGCAGTAACAAATCAATTAAGTCAGCTGGATTTCTATACCAGGGTCACCTTAACTCTACAAACAGAACGTTAAAAATCTGATGTATCTCCCTAGCTACTTACAGGGGAAGTGGTTTTCTTTAACCACTGCCTGAAGAATGCTAAACCACCACATGAAATGCTTTACTACAAAGCCTACTTGAAGCAAGACCCTTTGCTATGAATGCTAACTGTCTGCTATCGTTACCTAAAGAGAAACATCTTCAATTGCTGCAACACATGGTGGGAGACTAAGCCTTTCCCACCAATCTGGCTTTCCTGGTACTGACCCCAACTTTTCACTATGCTGATGACTTCAGGCAGGATGAAGAGCGTGGTTTGCATTCTCGTTTTTCTTTGCATTTTCCCCCTTGATAAATTTGATGTGGCTGTTTTGTCCCATGATCTGAACAGTCCAATAGTTCCAGTGGAAGACTGAAAAGGCTTTTGAGTCTGTCCATTATAATACACTGAATCAAACACTACTGCAGTTTTTAAGATTTATGCAAGTATTGATTAGCTCTGTACACTTCAACACAAACCACAGCTATGTACTGTTAATATTCTGCTCCATCCAAAGAGATAAAAAAAACACTGCACAAAATCAACACAGTTCCGTTAACCTGAATACTGGATATTTTTTTTTTTCTTTTTTCTTTTCTTTTTTCCCCCTGAAGACTTCTTGCTTCTCTTTTTCTCCTTTGAAAGCATATGATAATTTGCAATGCATTTTCTAATCATTCTCCAGGTCTTTTACACCCTGCTCCCCTTTACACTATCACATGTTCTTCCACTGCACTCATTCCCCTCTCCCTCTCAAGGCCAAGTGTTTTAGTTGCGTCAATAGAGAGGTATTTGAGCACAGGGCACCTTGCTCAAGAAATTCATGCCCTATTGCACATACATTGTGTCATCTGCACTACAAAAACACCGACTACATCTCTTTAACATTGTACCAGCAGAAATTGTTGGGTTTTTTTTATCCTTCCATACGTAGATGTTTTGCTCCTCTTAGAGCTGCTGATGTTCAGTTCTCATTATGCAGCCTTTTGGTTCTTCTTAATGAGTTAGAAAGGCTGGGGTCACCCACACAGCTCAGTCAGTGCTTGTTAACAGAACAGAGAAAAATTTCCAATTCCTGTGCAAGCCCTTTTGCACAGGAGGAACATATATCAGAGCACTCAAGATGGCAAAACCAAAACCTCTCCTTGCAGGGATTAAAAACGTTTCTTCTGGCAAGATCGTTCTGTGCTCTTCAGGGGGTTTTTGGACCTACTTTACTACTGTTTTTGCCGTATTGAAAATGCCAGTTATCAGTCTTGGCTCTTTCAGGTAAGCTTGTTATTCAACAGTGACTTGGTACCATGAAAGCCTTCACAAAGCAGAAAGGAGAAATCATGCGTGTCTGTAAAGACTGTCCAATTTAAAGCTCATTGTTGTACAAAGACTCAACACAGACACAGAGCACACCTCCCTCACACTGGAACACATACACCCATCACAAACGTCTCTTGAGCCTAAGACCTCTGTAAATCCTCATCTTGGAAATATTATCAGGATCTTGTATCAAATTACTCTTGTTAAGGCAAAGAAAACGTACACTCAGATGTGTGCCATTTCAGAGTCCTTGGCTACAGGGAGGGCTGACATGGCCCAGGATTTAAGGAAGACTCACATCTTTCCAGAGCTGCAGGTGGATGCCAACCGATGCATCCCAAAATAGCACTACAGACCTCTGCTTAGGCAGATTAATCAATTTCTGAGAGTTTTTTTTTATTGGTTATTTATCTTTATTTATTGGTTAGGTGTTATCCACTGACAACCTAGTCCCCACCTCAGGGAATTTACAGTTCGTACTCTAATAGATGAGGGCATTCTGACAGCACATTACAGATCTCCTTAAAGGCTTGACTTTGTCCTGTTAACACAAGTGGCCAACAGTACTCTCACCACGTCTTCCAGAGATCAACAAGCCTGCTTCAGAAATGGAAGTTAAATCTACTGTCAGACCCTACAGCTCTCTCTGCTGCAAAGAGAGCTCTATAAAATGATTACAGTGTTTTCACTTCATAAAGTATAAAAACTGTGAGAGGACAGAAACTATCACATTGTTTTCTTGAAGTTAAAAATAGCAAACTTCCCATAGGGGCAGAGGGGAAGTGTGCACATGAGCAGGTAGAGCCTGACTCAGTTTCGGGTATTCAAAGTATTAATTCATTCTATTCATGTAGACACCTGCAAGATCAAATGATGTGGAAGAAGAATCTGTCTTAATAAGTACCATTGCCAAGGAAGAACTCTGAAGGGGTTATTCTGGTGCCCCGTTTTCCTTGTGGCCCTGCTCAAAGTGTGTAACAGCTTTGTCTAGAGCTTTGTACAAGCATGGTCAGCAAAAAAGATCAGTTTAATTTAGCTTCAGCTACCGAAAAACTAAATCCTTCATTTAAATCTCCCGGAAATGGGCAGAGAGATTTATGCCATTCTAAGACAGTTCCTAGAGTCAATAACATGGGTGCCTCCAAAGACACTTCACCTCTCCTCTACTGGCTGCAGAACCTAATGATTAACTTTATCTAGAAAGTTAACTTTCAGATGAAATTAGGTGAGGAGTCTCGTCTTGCCTGTGGAAGTCCCTTGTCTATTGCAAATAACAGACCTTTCCTCTGTTTCTTCTTGTTGTGGAATCTTGAGAGACTTGCACCCATTAAAGCACATTTTTCTCCACTTCAGAGCAAGGAATTTATGACCATGACAAAGTCTTTTGGTTTCCAAAAGGGACATTAGGCAGTCCCTAAGATGTAAATTAACAGAAATGCAATTTCTTCACAAAAAAAGTTTGCAAAGTGTGAAAAAAAAAAAAAAATCATAGAAACTCTTTTTTTTCTTTAGGTACCACTGCTCTTCAAACAAGATGATAGACAATGTTTCAGTCAAGAGAATGGTCTGCTGTGCTGCACAAACGTTTGTGCAGCCTTCATGTTCAGAAGTTACAAAAGGTTGAAAACAATCTCTTCATCTTTGTAGAAGCCAAAATTATCACCCTGTTTCAAAAGAAAAGGTGGCCATAGAAGCTCATCTCATGGTGGCTTTGCTGGAACATCTTTCTTTGACAATAGCATTGCTGCCTGTCCTTCTCAAAGCTTATAAGCCAGGTTTACAAGCAAAATTCATACAGTTTACAAAAATTTCATGTAACAGAAAAAAGGCAGTTCCACATTCTTATCCCCATCTACATCTGAAAGTAAAAGCAGTACTTCCTTGTACTGCAAAAAGATTAGTTTGAGATTATGTGGCACTGGCATGAGTATTATATCAGTTTACAGCCCTTGCCAGGAGTCTGTCCTTTTTATACAAAGAAATGACTCAGAATGATTTTCAGCATTTTTTGGTCATCCTGCACCCAGCCTACACAAGAGTGCTGGGCATTATCAGAAATGCCAACATGGAACAGCTGACTAATTCCCAAATATTTCAAGCCTCTCAAGTAAATTGCCTGTACTTTCCCTTTGAGGGCCACAGAGTTAAAAGTAAGGGCGCTGAGGTCACCTTGTTGCAGTAAATTCTCTTTATTTTGTGGTCAGTGTGCCTTACTTGTATATTCCTGTGCTAAACTGATCATCATAGCTGTGCCAGAGAAGAAAAACTTACACTTTCCTCCAGGGGGTGGTTGTAACCCGCTTCCAAGTATCTGGGGATTTTATCTTACACCCCAATATTGCTGGGACTTGAATATAGTGCTATCCTTGCTCTTCCTCCATTCCCACCTGCACCACTTCTTGTAGCACGTTACAGTTGTGGCTTCTCTTACAAGCCTTTGTTTTTCTACAGAGAGGAACATTTCATCCCTCATGGAAATTTGTGGAGTGCATTTTCTGCACAATCCTCTACCACGCAACTGCCTGCAGCTACAGGGGACTAAATCAACCAACACAGACAAGCCTCTTCCCCCCACCTATGTACCCGTACCCAGAAGACTAGGAAAAGCCCAGCTTAGCAACAAATTGAATCTGCCTTAGACATAGCAACATCTAAGTACCCAAAGTCACATGTTGGTTTCTCACCTTAGTATCTCATTTACTTTCTTTAGCTTCAGAATGGAATTTGACTCCATTCAGACTCAAGCACCTTCTGATTCTTCAAGGTAAAATCCCTCAAAGACAAAGGACACATCTCTTCCATCATGCCATTTAAATACCTTATTTACAGTCCTCACATTCCTCCACATTCTTCATGGGCCTGGTGAAAACAAAAGTGTCCAGTAGGACTGGCAAATTACAGCTATTTCGGAGTGGGAAGGAGGGAATTTCAGAGGTGCAGGGAATTCTCTGGCAGCTGCCCCATCTCCTACATACAAAAAGAGAAATCTCCTACAGACACCAAAAAAAAATATCTCTGCTACTAGCCATTAATAGCTTTATAGGTCAAAAACCTCACATCTTTGATACAGCTTGCAGGCAACAGCTAAAAGGGTCACACAGCCTTTCCCAAATACCATCTCAGCTTTAGTGCAGAGAGCTGCCCTTATGTCAACCTGCAAACACTCGTTCAGTTATAAAGCCCATAAGGCAGAGACAATAGCAGTAAAAATCTGAAATGATGGTAAAGTGATCTGAAACTGGAAGAGGAGTCTATTGATGAAGCAGAGGTGAAAAATACCTCTCTGACCCATGACCTTTCCACAAAGTGATATAGCTCTTTACTTATCATCCCACAAGAAAAACCCAATGAATAAGGTCAGCTGTTACCCTCTGTCCCAGATCTAAAAGACAGACTTTGTTTCATATCCAGCGTCCTTTCTGTGCACATAGATTTCTCTTAGGTGTCAATGAACCAAATCTTTCAGCAACAGAACTACCAGTTAGGAGCAACTCCTCTGAAGGAAGTGAGATGAAAACAAAATCTGAACCCTGAAGTTTGGAAATGCAGCTAGATGGGGAGCAGAAATCCACTTTCTGCCTCTCTGAAGATGATTTTTCCCCTCTTAATAGTTGCTTTCAGAAAACTTTGGTATGGCGTGATTAACAAGGCAGTCAAATTTAATAAAACAACAGCTGTTTTTCTGTGTTGTTATTTTTTTTAAAGATATGCAAATTAAGACAGTTCGTTTAATTGCCTAATAAATATTGTAAACACCACTCAATCTCTTTGTGGCAGTTGGAATGAAATTGTAATAATCTGCCATTTTCTACACTACAGCTTCAGTTCCACTAGTAGTAAAAAAGTCTCTCTCCCAAACACTAGCAAAAATATCCTCACCACAACATCACACATATACTTCTCAAAAGGGAAGCATTTCAACTAGAAATCTTTGGATGTACTTACTGAGATTGTACCATTGTCTAGACCTATGGACAGCCTTCTGGTTTCCGGGTTAAAAGACATGCATGAACATGGAGCTGAAAAAAATGAACATGTTGATGAAGTTAACAAAACTGTGATTCTCATTTTCTTGAAATTCTGGAAAGCCTAAAACTAGCTAACATGCTTTATGATGCTGTTCAGATTTTTTTTTCCCTTCCAATAGACGGCATTTTAAAAAAAAAAAGCGTTCTTGCAATTCATTCAACCCTATCCTATTAGGACATGGAACAATGGCTATTTCTTGCTCCAACTCCTTCATTTTTTCTTACTAGTTATCTGAAAACAGGCACGTCATACAAGAACAGTGGTGGTGTTTTGATATGAGGCACCTGACATTTCAGTATAAGTCTGAGAGATTACTTAGCTGAATAATTTTGGTTTTTTACATTTGCCTGAACTTTACTGACAATAAAAGAAAACAGAGCATTATGTCAGAGCCTTGCATCCCATACCTACAGTAATAAAAGGTAACTTGTAGGAATCAACATATCAGCCAATATTAAGGACTGTGAGTCTAACTGCCCCACAGACAACTATGACAGTATCACATACTACGGCCAAAATAAAAGACTGTATTGAAAACTACCCACTGCTTTATTATATCACAATTACTCTAATAAACATCGGGATATACTCTTAAATGGCATACAAGTCAGTCATAGTATGCTACCTCGGGGATCTGGCAAGGTTCACATCAAGGGTAAAACCAAAATTTTCTTGCAAGGATTCAAGAGCTCTGGTTGGTTTAATTGAGAAACTGAAGTTGCGTTCAGAAGGCAGGGATCTTTTTTACAGCTAACACAGCAGCAGGCAGCTGGGAGCCCTGCTGTCCCAACAGAAACCTTCCGGAATCATTTTTCAGCAGCAATTGCCATGTGCAGCTAGGAGCAGGCATTCTTACTTCTTTGATAGCGATAACAATGTTTTCTTAAACCATATTCTTGTGATAAATATAGAGTACAGTCAGATGTGCTTTTAGCTCTGTTATCCCCCCCTCCCCTTGGTTTCTAGTCTCCTTTTTGATTACTCGCAGTATTTCTGTTACTAACAAGCTTGGAGTCCTCTCTCTCTTTTGCAGTACTGTATATCTGGTATATACCCATTTTGTGTAACATCTCACATAGGATTAATCAGTCCATAGCTCAGCAAGTCTTCCTTGATAGTTTAGTTGGCAGCAAAGATATATGAAGAAGAGGAAAGTCTACGTTGGCTGTTTAATAAAACTGGTTCTACCTTCAGTATTGACTCTCCCTTGAAAAGCTTCCTAAAGGACAATCAACTGCAAGCAGAAAGCCTACCAGATCCACATCCAGGCAGGCACCTCCATTTCTTTCTTTCCTGGAAGGGTTGACTGTATTAAATCAACAAAAAAGCTTCAGTTCAAGGAAACTGCCAGAAGGGAAACACTTAAATTAGGGCTACTAACAGTGACATAATTGCTTCTTCCTATACCTCTCCCTCAAAAAAGACAAACTCAAATCATGCCTTTGGATGGCGGTACATTTACTATTATATTGATGCTTCTAGGGTTGCAGCAGAATTAGATGGTTCTAGGAAAAACAGACGGGGAAAAAAAAAAAAGGCAATTCTAAGCAGAATAAATATCAAATCCTTTTAAAAGCACTTAATGCCAGAACGGGCATATTTTACATATCAGCTTTCAAACACTAGGCACTGTGCACACATTGAAAGAGGCACTAGTAACTCTGAAGGCAATAAACAGCTCGCAGAGAAAAAGTCTCAGGTAAATTAGCTATTTGAAGTATGCTTTTTCCAAATAGCCTGAAACACTTCAGACACAAAAGGTGCAAGCAACTGCTTGACACAGGTTGATTACAAAAAAAATCCCTTCTAAATTCCTGCCCCCTGTGTACACAGCCACAGCAGTGTAAAGATACTTATTTTGCTATAACCATTTTCCTAAGGGAATTCTCCAGTAACATGTGCTCTTGGAAAAATCATTATGTCAGCACCAAAACTATGTTCATGCAAGCTACACTAATGTAGTTAAAGTGATGCCAGTTGTAACAAGACTGCAGCAGCTTATGCTTTAGTGGAAATAAAATGACATTTCAGATACTTAGCACTTAGACTCATTAAGAAGAGAGAGAGGAAAAAACCCAACAAAGCAACAGAATGCAAACAAAACCCCCACCAAACTACCCCAAGCCCTAGGCTTCTGAGATTTTTAAGATCCTTTTAAAATAATAGCCAGGAAAAATAACAGCACTCTGAAGGCCTTCTACTTCAGTACCTAGCTATGATTTGGATTTCAGACTGGAAAAAGATTGATCTGAACTGCTACAGAGGACAGGCAGGATATTGCTGATGCAGAAGTCTGACTGTAGTCTTTTTCTTAAATACAGGGCAAACACACTGATTTTAGCTTTTGGAAAATGAATTATGGAAGAAAAGCCCAATTACATACTTCAAGCTCTCATCAGTGTGTCACCTCTACTAGAGGGCGACAGAAGTAGAAGAGAAATAGAAACGTTCTACCTGCAGTTTCAAGAACCACCCTTTGAAGTGCCTGAAAGCAGCATCATTTAAGACTGAAGGGGCGTGTTTTGCTTTGCAGTTTTTTTAACCTCCTGTTCCAAACACAGGGTTAGCTAGGAAAACCATCATCAGACAGAGAGTGTATTATCTGCCTTAAAGACTGGATATGGATACTCCACTGTTCCTCACTACAATAAATCCTTTACTCTGTTGCACATCTGCGAGAGGTTTTTGGTTGGTTGGGTTTGGGTCCTGTTGGTTGGCTTTTTTTTTTTTTTTGACTACAGTTCCTTTTCCTTTCATAAATTTGTGTCTACTAAGTTGGCTTTTTTCTCCTGTACAGATACTGCCCAGAAGTCACACATCTAACCACGATTACATGTATATAATCTGTGTAACTAAGGGTACACATCAAACCATGAGGAGGGCTAACCTGCTCATCAGAGGTCTGTTGTTAATACAGCTGCTGAGACAACACTGGCTGGAATGAAGAAGATGCATTAGGTAGGTTTCCATTTTACCAACTTGCCTTACTGATGATTTAACAGTGGGTGTAACACTCACAGCTCTTTCTTTCTCATGGGCTAGAGGAGCTGATCAAAAATGTGGCCACCATGCTGTCTAGAATTTTCCAACCACAGAAACACCTATAAGGCAGGGCATAAAACTTCATAATTGGGGAAATCCCCAAAGCAGCAAATGTACCTACTTAGAAGGGATCTACAAACTTCATCTTTTTTTCAGGTATTGAATGGGTTTCACGTTCAGAATGCACTGATGGCCTCATTTGGGTGCAGTGCTTGACCAAAGCACATGGCTGACTTGGCCCAACTCCTCATCCTCCTCATTTCCCAGAGTCCCTGGGGTGCAAACTCAGTTCTTAAGGCTATCTGATGTCAAATCATAAAAGGGTGTGCGTCAGGCACCACCATAACCAAAGTCACAAGTAATGCTAATAGTGTATCTATGGGTGGAACTGCCACTCACAGCTTGCTAAGCAACACAAAGGCCCGATCATTCCTACTATATTTTTACACAGAGAACCTCCAGGCAATTGTTCTCTAGACAACAAAAACCAATGTGAACCTAAAGCAGAGGACCATCATAAAGGTGTTTCACACATAAATAGACAGAATGATCATTTCAAGTCAAGTGCAGACTTGTGCAGAGGCTGACTCCGAGTCCTTCTATGACTTCCAAGCTTAAAGCCATGGCTGATAGCAATGTAACTGGCATTGCTCCAGTTGTTAATTATACCTGATCATTCTTGAAACTGGTGAATAACCCAGCATAATTTTAATATCTCATGGCTCAAAAGCTTACCAGCCTTCTAAGTGAAGGAGCAGTGTCAGGTGTTCAAATTTATGAAGGAGCCTTAAAATAGTCCCCTTTGAGTGGATCTGGATCTACTCCATCATTTCCAGTGAAGCTGTTATTACTGGCAATAATGCAGCCTTGCTAAGACCAGAGGAGAACCTAACAAGATTTTAAAATGCTAGTGTATGCAAAAATATCATATGGAAAAAGAGAAGTATCATTGCCAAACTGCTAAAACAGTCATTTCGTAACAGTTTGACTGGGGAAAGCATTAGGACAGGTCAAGGGGACTCAGGCCACTGTTAGTGATCATAGAATCATAGAATCATCTACGTTGGAAGGGACCTTAAAGATCATCTAATCCAACCATCAACCTAACTCTGACAAAGAAATAAGAAATAGGAAATAAAAATTACTAAACCATATTCCTGAGGACCATGTCTACCCGTCTTTTGAACACCTCCAGGCATGGTGCCTCAACCACTTCCCTGGGCAGCCTATTCCAATGCTGCATAACCCTTTCGGTGAAGAAATGTTTCCTAATATCCAATCTAAACCTCCCCTGGCGCAACTTGAGGCCATTTCCCCTTGTCCTATCTCCTGTGACTTGGGAGACAAGACCAACCCCCACCTATCTACATTCTTGCTTCAAGTAGTTATAGAGTGCGATAAGGTTCTCCCTTAGCCTCCTCTTCTCCAGAAGAGAAAGGGAGCTCATGACAGAGCTCCACAGAGTTCTGTCAAGCTTCACAGGCTGCCATATCGTTAGCTGGATTCCTGTACATATTTGAGAAAAATATTGAGCAGAAAGTACCTTTGAAGCTTGACATACTCTTATGAGCTAGTCCATCACCAAAGGAAGAAGAGAGATCCTCCTCTCTACAAAATGAATGCTTTCTTAAAGCAGGCAGTCAAACACCATGGCCACTCTAGGGTCCCAAGCTGATGTTATTGTGGTATTATAACTTATATCTTCAACATTTTATGTATCATGGAGACAGATGTCTCTTCCAAATCTAGCCATCTTAGCTTAAAATAGTTCTTTTTACAGTAAGAACACCTCGATGGGGCTTGATACGTGCTCCAAAATCTGTGAATTTAAGGTTAGTTTTATAAGTTTTCCAAAGACAGGCTAACCTAGCACATCTTGAAGCTGACTGAGGAGCATCAGCACACCCTTGCTGCTGGTGACCTGCAGAGTTATATTCCTGCACTCAGCCACAGGGGTCATGACGAACCGGTATAGCTGTGATTTCTTCAACTGTCTCCTGCAAAAATGGACATTCATCTGCAGTTTCTTTTAAAGCATGAACACTCTCTGTGGGAGAGGAGACATACAGCTGGATCATACTGGAGGGATCCATCAGGGATACTTGGTTTTCCATATTTAATTGCAGGGGTGAAATGATTTTTCTTCACTGGAAGATCTGCTTTCCCTGTCTAGTATCCTCTCTATCATATTAGCTGCTGCAGGATATTAAGCTCTTATCAAATAAAACCATTTACCATTGCAGTCTAATGGACTAAGCACACACAGTAGGAAGGGCAGAGTGATTTATACTAGAGATTTACAAAGCTTTATGGACACCATTAGTGGTGGAATATAAGACTACATTTTGAGCTCCCACATTTTTTAATCTATGTTTGCATTAAATGCTCATCCCTTGCTAGCATATCTGTATCCTTTTGCTGCTGTAATCCCTGATGCCTCTCAGAAGCATTAGCACGCAACTTGGTAAAACTTCACAGAAATCAAGAGGATTGTTCAAGAATAATATTTAACACAGGGTGGTAAGCTTGCATAACATAAACATGAAGCTTCAGCAAAACCAGAAAAAGCCATTTTGCAAATACACAGTAGATAATGAACATCTCCATATACTTACATGGCATTGCATGGTATATGCTGGGCCAGTACTGCCCACTGTCTCTCTTCAGCCAGACACGAACTGTTCTACAAAAGAAAAAAACCACAACACACTCATGAGGAAGAATGAAAAAGTAACCATGAATGAAAACAAAGTGGTGACAATGAGTGCACTGCACTTCAAAAGTAAATTATTTTGCCGAGAGGGGAAAATAAACATGCAAACTCCTACAGCAGCCTTATACATCAACCACAGGTTAACTTCTGTAAGGTGATGAGGGTAGCCCATTCCTTGGTTCCCCATAGCATTTAACGTCTTGGCGTAACACAACAGTATTTGGAAACTGCTGTGGCTTTTTGCTTCTTGCCTTTCCCAAGGACTGGAATACCACTGTTCACTCAATGCCTCAGATGAAGATTTAGGACACCCATCATACCCCAGGAAGCCATACCTATACCAGCCCACCCAGTCCCCTGAAGAAGCCTTCCCTCTGGTCTCAGGGTAGGCCTTGGTCCATCTACTACCTGTTGTTTTGTTGTTTTGCTTCAGGAAAACTTCTGAGCAAAGAAACGAGGTTCTGAGATTTTTGACATCTCTTTACTAAGATTATTTCCATTTGTGCCAACAGTGAGCTCTTCAGCTTCACGACCTTCCCCCCTCCTTGGTGTACTCAGAGTGCTATCAGATGCCCACTAGGCATCAGGCTGACAAAGCCAAACTCTTATCCTTCTCTGAAGAGGATGATCAAGGCAACAGGCAGCCTGGCAGTCCTCCTCTGCCCCATCAGTTTGGAGTTGCTGTCCTCAGAGGCACCTAGAACCACACAGTGCTCCAGGCCTCTCCACAAACACACCAGTAGTTTCCTCTCTGCTACAAGAGAGGAATGTATCCCAATGGATCTCAGCATTACTTTTGCTTTCTCATAACCATGTCACACTGGCAGCTCCCTGTCATTGAATCCACACCCTTCACACACTTGAGAAGCCTATTGCTTGTCTTCTGAGCAAAGGATTTGGACTGATATACTATCTGGGTCATTAAATATTTATTATTTCAGTCATCCACTTGTTTTGGTCCAGTCTCTGGACCTCTCTCTTTCTAATTGAAGCTCTCTCTTAACTTTAGTTCATTAGCTAATTTCATCAAACCATTCCTAGTAACAGTGTCACCAGCTAAAGCAGCAGGCAACCAGTAATCTCCTGCTGGTTCCTGCAGAGCCAAGGTGACTGTCATCTCAATTACAGCCAACTGTTACCTGCCTTACTGTTCCTCAAATCCTTATCTTCATTTTTCCCTAGTAAACTCTCCATATAATACTGTATTCCATGTGTTACTGATTTACACCAACTATACTAACCTTCTCTAGAAAATTTAGTTATCCAAGACAGCATCAGGTTAGTGCAGAACAAGAGATTTTTAACCCAACAGCCACTTAATCAGACTTCTAATCAGTCTTATCCACCGAAGTTAGTATGCAATAGTAGGTACAAGACGGATCTTTAAAACTATTGTTAAACATAAGCCTTATTTTCCTGTATAAAGACTGTAATTTGCACTTGACAATATCAAGGAAAACAGAACAAAACCAAGCAAGAATGGCTCTTTCCAGTTCATGAAACGCAGAAATATAGCTTATGAGGAAGACTACATGGTCATTACTACTGCTACCTCATTTTCATGGAAAAGCATTTTTCAGCCCTTTTTAGCCAACAAAAGTTTAGAGCAACTTGTTAATCACAGAATGATACGGGGTTGGAAGGGACCTCTGGAGATCGTCCAGTCCAACCTCCTCAACCAAAGCAGGTCCACTTAGAGCAGGTTGCACAGGAACTTGTCCAGGCGGGTTTTGAATGTCTCCAGAGAAGGAGACTCCACCACCTCTCTGGGCAGCCTGTTCCAGTGCTCTGCCACCCTCAAAGTAAAAAAGTTCCTCCTCATGTTAAGCTAGAACTTCCTATGTGCAAGTTTGTGCCCATTTCCTCTTGTCCTGTCCCTGGGCACCACTGAAAAAAGACCAGCCCCATCCTCTTGGCACCCACCCTTTAAGTATTTATAGGTGTTGATCAGATCCCCCCCCCGCCTTCTCTTCTCCAGACTAGAAAGACCCAAGTCCATCAGTCTTTCCTTGTAAGAGAAATGTTCCAGGCCCCTAATCATCTTTGTGGTCTTCTGCTGTACCCTCTCCAGCAGTCGCCTGTCCTTCTTGAGCTGGGGAGCCAGCTATACATATAATATAATGTAAATTGATCTAAGATGTTACATTCACAAGACAAGTCTGAACAAAGATGTCATGCAATATATTAACACAATTCAACTAGTTATCTATCCTGCAAGCCTCAAGCTAAGGGCTGCACCATTTTGTGTTCCCAGATTGCATATATCCAAAATCAGATTTTTGCTCATCCTTCCCTGCATCCAAACTCATTTTCCAGCAAATGTTTCACAGACCTGCGTATTGGGCACCACACAAGCATCACCATTTTAGAAGTGACACAAGCATACACTTTGACACAGCACATGGCTCTAAAAACTAATATTCTACTGGGTTAGAAAGCATTCACAAATTACTCAAAACATGTAAAATTCAGTATAATTAACGTCCTAAGTCTAACACCCTTTTTGCCACAAACACACTGAAAAATTTGAAGTAGATTTGAAGCAAAACCACTGACACATTCAGGGAGAATTCATCAGCTGATAACAATGCTGATAATCGTATTGTCAATAGGGATAGGGCCAAATCCTTCTGTCATTCCTTGCTGTAGCTGACCATAGCTGTTGTCACAGCAGCACTCTGATTGCAAACCTTGGGTCTGGGAAGACATCCACAGGCACAGGGCTCTATGCCAGGGTCCACCCAAAGGGGTCCACCTTTGCTAAGAAAGTGGTCACTGTAATTCTGGAACCACATCAGCCTCTCTGTTTCCTAGAGGCAAGAGCTCTGGGACAGTCAAGCTCTTATTAATGTCTTTATCCTCATCAAGTGAGGTTATCGTGGGAATGAATGAGTGTGCACAAAAAACTCATGGGATGAATCACAGGGAGCTGAAATAACTCAATACGAAACATCACTGGGGAAGCGCACCAATATCCTGTGAGAGTCTTGTCTTCCTTGACCACCCCAATCTATATATTCAGTGCTACCAGTTTCAAAACTCCCAGGCTTTGACAAAGTTGCCTCTCCTTTCCACTTTAAGGCTCTGGCAAATAGTAAATCCAGTACAATATCTTACAGATAATTCAGCTTGTTAAAAAAAAAAAAAGAAAAGAGTATGTATAAGAAAAGATGTTTCACAAGCTGAAGGAAACAAAAACCAGTACAATATCTTACAGATAATTCAGCTTGTTAAAAAAAAAAAAAGAAAAGAGTATGTATAAGAAAAGATCTTTCAATTCAATTTTATTTGCAAAAATGGCAATAATTTGGATGCTTTGGGTTGTTTTTTAAACTGTACCCATTGTGAATTTACTAATTAATTTGACAATTATTTCAATATTAAGACTGTTAGATGAATGATAGTAAAACAAAAAATATTTTCTGCTTAAGCTCAAAAAAACCCTCAAACCTGGTGGAGGTTCCTAGTTAAGAGCAAAACTACTTTTACTAGTGTAGGCCTCTTCTGTAGGCACACAGTATGCTCATTTCTTTACATTGTCAAATATATTTCCATTCAATGACTAATTCATGCAAAATGAGAAACAAAGCATTCTAAGAATAAAAAGACTATGAAAAGATGTTATCTAACTCTAAGGTGTGTGATAGGGAACATAACCAGCGAGTTAGTTCATGTAACTCATTACAGAAATACTTATCCCCTCAGTATATCATTTTAAATAAAGGAAAACAAAAGAGCTCATAAACAATTTATTTTAAAATTAAGGGTGATTACTATGCATATCTTCAAAACAAGCATTTAAAAGTTATGTTAAGCATTATAATGGAATTCCATCACCTACATATCTGCTGATGTAAAAGTGTAAACATTCTTCCTCGTATCAGAAAATGTCATCAGAAAATGATGACTCATTATTTTCTTCCCTTAAGATCACTGGATTAGATATGGCATTTTATTGAAAGAAGAAAAAAAATCACCTCAGTTCAATAAACTTTTCTGGGTAACTTTTTCTCAAAGCAGATCTGGGCTAAAGAACAAATTGCACCAACAGCTGAACTTGGGAGAAGACAAATGCTCTTGGAAGAAAGTGTCCTTTATTCAGCTGCAGTTCTGCACACTTTTGATACTTCTTATCACAATACTACCCACTAGACGCCAAACCCAGAGCTTTTGAAGCTTCTAAAGAATACAAAGAAAAAAAACAAGCATGAATGAAAATAAGCTTTTTTAATGAAAATATAGCATGAAGAGTATTTGGTGGTTGCATGGTTACTGGACTCAAACACAGCACCCACCCAAGTCAGGATCCATTCTTCAATTGCTCTAGAGCGATTCAATCAGCATCACCATGGAAATTAGTCTCCCCTTCATTTTGTTGCCAGTGAATTGGCTTGGAAAGATTTTTAGAACCTGTCAAATCAATGGATACTCTAATTAGTCTCCCCTTCATTTTGTTGCCAGTGAATTGGCTTGGAAAGATTTTTAGAAGCTGTCAAATCAATGGATACTCTTCTAAGTCTTTTCATAACAAATACGATTTATTTTTAAATGAGACAGGCTACGCAGAAAAAATTGTGCCATGCAAAAGACAGGCTATGTCTTCATATATTTAGGGGATTTGAAAGAAAAATTGCTTCTCTCTGTTACTCTCAAGAGTACGTGTCTCAAGTCCAGGTGGCTGTGGTTGTACCAGCACATCTCAAACACACTGCTAGGCTGTGCACATCTGCAGGATCTGCTTCATCTAAGCACTCACTACTCACTGAGGTGCCTGTGTAAATAGCAGCACATCCACCTCAGCGTGGCAGCTCCACTCTTCACTATCTACAGAAACTTATTCAAGTAGTGGTAAATGCCACTGTATATTCTTTCTGCTAAAGACATTTTGCTCATACAAATCCTGGTTTGTGTATTTAGGTTGCAGTGTGCTCCATGAAAGCCTGAACAATGCTGCTGGGCAGGATGCAAGA